GCTTTCTGTAGATGATGTTTTAATAGATAATTTCTTTTTTATTAAATTATCCATTAAAAGAAACATTTAAAAATCTGATCTTTTGTCTTTATAATTTTAACATAGATTTCCTTCTCTTGCACTTTATTGTGTATTATGTTCTAGTCTTCTCTGATAACTACTAGAGGTTTAAAGGAATGATACACTACTATTATTTTATGATGAATAGATGAGTTTACTTCAATGCTCTATGTTATTTCTCTTCACGGATCATATTGGTTCGATCATATGACAGGCGGAAGATGCCGCGCTTTGTTAGTCCGAACCCCTTGTAATGCTTACTGCAAAAGTGGGTGTGGCATGATAATAGTGCCTTAGTCGTCATATTATGAGGTTCTCTCGATTGTATTATACATGTCGTAACTAGATTATAGAATTGTGTTTACCACACCTGAAAATGTCAGTAGGAGAGAATAGAACACATTTCATGATTTAGTCAAATATTATATAATAAAGTTCAACATTTCCAGATTTGTTTATGGATATACCTATACACATATCATTGTTATGGATCACATATAAAAGTGTAGTTATTATAAACTTTTAGACATTGTATTGCTATTTCTTCAATCATCGCATTATTTTTCATTTTTGGGGCAATATATTCGGTTTTACTTAACGTCGAATGAAAAAAAATATGTTTACCTTACCATGTTAAAATAATTGACCATATAAAAAAACTAAGGGTAGTAGGTAAGTAGCAAATGTTAGTAGTGTTTATTGTTAACATGATGAAACATCTTTACTCGTTGATCGAATGCAAATATTTATAAATATATTGTAATAATAATAAATTCCTATCTAGTCTCCACGTATACGGTTATACTTTTCTATTAGGTTAGTATTTAATTATTTATTATTAAACATATTCGGTCTTATTACAAAAAATCTGTTAAAACTCGGACGAAACGTGGTCTAGATGGTCGTGGTTTAAACCATTCCTAAAGTTAATACTTGGAATAAACCTAACATTATTACGAATCCAGATCTAACAGAGGACTACTTAGTACTACAGTTAAATCGTTCATTATGTATTCCATACAGAAATCAGTCACTCATGTCTGTCACCGTACAATTACGTTCCATTTTACCAGAAAACTGAAAAGATCAAAAATAATATTAGTTCAAAGAAAAATGTATAAACTAAAAATAAATTTATTTCTATATATCTATGTCTTCATTATAACTATTTCATTAATATATAATATTTATTAATGTACTATTAGGCTTAAAATCAGTTTTAAATTACAAGTAGGAGTCCGGACGGAGAAAAGGAACGGCGAGATATTTTTATTGGATCATTGGATCGTCGAATAGTGACTATTTCAAAGTCAAATGAGTGAAAAAATAACAAATAACGTCTTTTATATATTTTTATTGTCGTAAATATTTGCTTTAAAAATGTTTATTTAATATATTTTTAATTTTAGTTAAAATATTTTTCCAAAAACTACAACTTACAATAGAATTTTTAAAATGGAGTTTGACTTTTTGCATTTAGACCACTGTTAAACTAGGGGCATCGCAGGTCTAACTTTAGACCATAGACGAATCACGATTTAGAGATAAACTTCATTTTGTAATAAGGAATACATTGGTGAATGGTTTATTACTAGTGCTAAACCAGGTTTATCTTTTTGTAATAAGGCCGATTGTGTCCCACTGTTAGACCTCACTCGACTTGAAACTTCCCACGCTCGTAGTCTTCGTTTGTCTACATGCATACTAGTTTTTGTGTAAACAGTTGTCTTTCTACCACACATGGGGTCTGCCGCCAGTGTCTAATTAGGTCAAAGTTATACTGTATTATATAGTGCCCTAGGAATAGTGTTGATGCTCATCCATTGATACATTTATTCATACCACTGAAACGGCTAATTAGCGAACGGTTAATCTGATGGAAAATGTTATACGCTTGTTAAAGTAGTTTCTGTCAGTTTGAACGAACAATTTCTATGTGTAATACCCGAAAATAATTCAGAAACTAAAAGATCTGAGTATTTAGATATATCTAAAAGAATGACTATTAGGTATATCACCTTATAGTCATTGCTTAAAGTGCTCATTGTTTAATAAACACCATCATCAATTCGGATATGACTGACTTTAAGTGATATTTAGTTGTGGCGGAGACATATATCAAAAGACAATATTTCTGTTTCGAAAGAAAATTTAGTATCGGTAGAGTTTATAACTCTACTTTTGTGGTATATTATAAAATATATCATTATTCCCTTCGTATCATCGTGTAGTCATATTCTTGCGGACTTTAGTGTCGTCTCACAATACCTAGTAATTTTACGGTCACATCTCTTCCCTTTAAACTGCAATTCAGCTTGTAAAGCTGCTTGACCTCGGAACTAGGGGAGACACAGGTACAACTATATAGATGTGGTTCTAACGAATATCATTCTTTACTAGCAATGAGCCTATTCTGACAAAAATCTCTTCTTACTCAGACTGTACAGTATCTGACATACTGTCATGAGTGACCAGACTCATTATAGTATGTCAGCCATCAAAATTGACGTCCAATAACCTCAATCATGGTGATATTTTAATCTAATTGCGTGGGTCAAAAAATGGCGTTTATAGTCAGGTTACGTTTTGAATCTTTTAGATAATAAGTTTGACTTTAGTTTGTGTATCTGTGCCATCGGAAAATTGAAATGATCGATATTAACACGTTTATTTTTGTTGGTATAACGGGCATTTCAAACATTCATATAATATCATATATTATTCATATCATAGTAACTGGGACATATTGCCTTGCCACTGGTATATTTAATTTAAAACGCTTTTTGCTTGTGTTTGCCATCTGCATTTGAACGATTCAAATGCATGTGTCATCAACTGTCCAGACGCTCAGACGTCTGTTATCAAGAATAATGTTTTCTTAGTATCGTATACAAATAAATCTAGTCCAATTCATAAAAACGCCGGGAATCTTATCTTTGTGTAAAAATAGCTTTAGGTATATTTTAGGCCTATATCTATAAAACTATTTTTAACAGACATAATAGACTTCAATATACATTATGACTTTATTTACCGTCTTAAAAAATATAGAGCATATCATATATTCATAAATAAAAACGATTTGATTTATATTATATTTAACATGTATTTTACTTTGTTTATTTAGCAGAAAGCTATTTTATTATTGTGCAAATATCGCACTACAAAATAATTTGTCAAGCCAGTATACTGTTCCCGGGAAATATCTATAAAAAAATTGTGCATAACAGCAATAAAAATTCTCATAATCGAGTAAACGGAATGTCAAGTTACCTATTTAGGAGTTAAGTTATAAGAAATGTTTATATCCATATTGAAAATAATATCCTACAATAATATTGACATTGATTTCATTCTTTTCCTATAAGTAATTTTATCTATATCTATCTTTAGTATTTTCTTTGCGTCTTGTTTCCAATTACAGAACGAAACCGTAATTCCGAATGAAATTGCAAATTCATTCACAGAAGGTCAATATTAATTGACTCCCTAAATGGTAGTCTACGGGATATTATGTTAATGATTTTATTTAAATCTAATGAACGATTCGAAAGCATCAGCCGAAAGAGGTTTCGTTCTGTTCTGTAGTATTAAAGCAAAAAGTATTTGCAATTAATTATATGACAACTATCTTAAAATAAGATTCATGCGAAGAGTGTGTACGAACTTCTTTGGCCAGAGGCAAGCATAGTTTTGACTAACTATAACTTGATAAAATTGAAACTCTCGAATATGACCGAGACAGAATTCGAATTGTAGTGGAATATTAGCGGCATAAGTTTAGTGGAGTATTAACAAACTAGCAACCATCCACACTATATATGTGATAATAGCCACAAACACCACATTATCATATGATGCCCGTCGTCTAAAATGTTGTGCGTCCGTACGCTGTACTTTCACTGCATTATGTCGCATTTAAACTAAAACGTAACTTATAAAGCAAACTCCTTGACTGCTAAAACAACAAAGATAGAGGCACCCCACGGAGACTACTATATACATAGTGAACCTAATGTAACAGCTGTAACCTATATATATGTAAACTTTTACAAAATACTAAACCTCCAACAGTACGTTTGTGCAATAAATCGTTAAAAATCACAACGGAAGTCATCCAAGGGCGAGGCTGAAATAAATTATATAAAACGAGCCACGAACATTACGTGAGATTCGCTCATTTCGCATAACCTCATCATTTCAAATATGCAAGTTCGCATTTACTTATCATTTTCAGCGAAAATGAATGACATTAGGCAAATTGATAAATATAATTTATACTGAATTTTATTTGCAAACCCAAAGTCCAATTTCATTCTTATACTTCTTTGACCGCATGTTGGAAAAGGCTATGCTCGGCATTACGCTGCGTGATAGAATACCAAATGAGATTCGTAGAATAAATAAAGTAATCGACATCGGTAGGGCGGTAGCATGGTAGGCCAGTATTCAACAGTGAGTAATAAATAATTTAAATATTGGTCGATGATGAAGTCAATCCAATATATATATATTTTTACGATTGCAGACGGTAACAGAATTTGATCTGTAATTTATTAATATTATTATTATAATTTATTTGAATGATCAATAAGACATCCACTATGTTTACAATAATTACCATTTATAAGTAGTTCAAGTATTGTTGACTTAATTACTTGTTGCCACGGCATGCTAAAATTTATTCAGATTTTTCTTATTATTGATATTTAATCGATAACAACACGTACACACTACATTATTATTATTAATTTTAGAAATATATATTATGCATATATCAAAGTAAGTTTACGTAAGTTTAAAGAAACAGTAGATTTTAAATAAGTAAATGAACAATACTATACTTTTTATTTAATAAATTATTTCCTTTGCCTGACTTATAAAATGTAAAACATACGATTCTTATCAGTTTTATTGAATTGTATATTTTTCTGTTGCAGGAAAAAATCTCTACAATAACGAACATGTAGCGATTAAAATGGAGCCTATGAAATCGAAGGCTCCTCAGTTGCATCTAGAATATCGATTTTACAAGTTACTAGGCACTCACGGTAAGTTTAAATCATAAAATAAATATTGCGTCTCCCTGCTTTGTTGATAATTTATAAAGGAAGATACTGTGCCGTTCAGAAGAGATATCATCGCATATTAACGCATAATATGAATTTAGCATTATAGATGTGATGAAAAAAAGTTATATAGGTATAGATCTCCAATAGTTACTAACCTATCTTTGATGTGCGAGGTAGCTGACTGTAGAACTATGTTGGGAATGTGTAACAATCAACAATTAAGATTGCTTTAATATAACATTAGCGAACAACTCATCTCTAATAAGTAATATTGTGTGTGTGTCTTATGAAAGTGTAAATAGTATTGTGTAATTAATCAAGGGATTTTCTGTCTCGATTCTGTCTCCAGTATAAAATTCTCCGGTCTTAATGCAAATAATATGTCTTTATGTTTTGCTTTACATAGCACATGATTTGATATTTTGATCCTTGACAACAATATTGACAGTAATATATCCATAAAACTGTTATCCCTGATGCATGTTGCACACATCTCTTTTAGTGTCGAAGCAAGAAAGTTATATAACAATATTTGGCTTTGTTTCATGTATTAATCATATTCTTTCCTAATTTTAAATATATTCTGAATAACTACGTATGTACCATTGCAAGCCCTTCATCTAGTTAGTATTCCAGATCACCAATAACGATGACTTGTCATAGGATTCAATCTGGACAGATTTTTAAGTTGCAAAAAGTATACGCAACTTTCACATTAGTACTTCAGCTTACCTAGCTTTTCTAAACCTTTGTGTCTTCATTCCATCAATCGAGGAATGACGTAGCGAATATTAGAGAAAGTTGCAATGTAAAAGTCGAATCAGATAAGGATAAAGTACATTATGACAAATAATGATATCAACATTAAATTCACTCTGACGTAAATATATGTAAATACGTAATAAATGTGAATGATATTTTGGGCATTGTTTATCTTCTTATCCCTCCTGACTGGACTATAGAATAAAGAGAGACGCATATAAATTGGAGAGAAATTAGATTAGTCGTTTTAATTACCCAGTTGTCTATTGTTTACAGAAAATAATTGCGAAGGTTCCATTATTATTGTTATCCAACCATTGTGGGTTTTTACTCATTATAATATTTTCAATACGGGTTAAGACTGCTAGTTGTCTGTCGTGAACAATCTCAGATGAGATTGGAATAAATACTTGTGTTTGTAGCAAAGCGATGCTGGTAACAATAGACACCTGGTAAAGTAACGTATAACTTGTATTTGTAGTTCAAAATCCCAGTCTAAAAATACAAATGCATTACTTGTTTAAAAAATGTATGATTGTATTAAGAATAACAAATTTATACATGTAATCGAAAATCATTAAAATTGGTAGATCTAGTCCAATTCATACTGACAGCAATGTCTTAAACATGGAGAACAATACATATTGTTAATAATTATTACGGTTATTACGTTAAAAGTATTGTGAAAAAGTAACTTGTCATCTAACGAGCCTTGAGTAGACCTTGTAGTTTCGCATACTGATAATGATAGTTAAATTTGCTCAGAGGGCATACCAAAAGTGTACTATTTGGGCACGTGTGGCGGCCGCTACAACGCCATGGTCATGGAGTTGTTAGGGCCCTCGCTCGAGGACCTGTTCGTGCATTGCGGCCGAAGGTTCAGACTCAAGACGGTCCTTATGATTGCTATGCAGCTCGTAAGTGCCTGTCAACATAGTACCAGTAGATCGGTAGATAGTAACCTCTCTCGGCACAACACTGTAACCGATACTGAAAGCAGTTATTTTTTTCCGCGCGAGGGCAACACGGCGTCGTGGTCATGGTTGTTGTTAAGGTCTGCCGTTATCCGAATTATCGAATATCGACTCGCTCCGATATTACAAAAAATAATATGATTTCAACAACGTAACTTATTTTGGATTAATAAAAGAATATTTATTATTAGTTATATTATTTTTATTGCTGTTTTTTTTAAAGCAATGCTCTCGCGAGTGACTCGGTTTCAATTTCTCTGAACTGTGTCATATATCGGATGCTGTGTTGTGTTGTTAAGTACGAGCGAGAGCAATGCTCTGTTGTTATGTGAGTATTAAAAATTCTACCCTCTTTCTCCCTTTGTTCCGTCCCGTCCCTTTCTCCCATGTACCTGCAGCACCGTCGTCAGCGGAGGGCATTCCAGAGGTGTATTACTTCGGGCCGTGCGGTAAATACAATGCATTGGTGATGGAACTGCTGGGGCCATCGCTGGAAGATCTGTTCGATCTGTGCGGCCGTCGATTCTCTCTAAAGACTGTCTTAATGATCGCTATGCAGTTGGTAAGTTCAAACCGTAATATACTGTATTACCATACCACTTAAGATTCTCTTGAGAATATGTCACGTCCTAAATAAACAAAACCGGGTATTGGTCTCGGAGTTGTTTGTCGCAGTGATTAATCGTTGTTAGTTGATTTACTAAAAGAAACGTAAGATTACCAACAGATTGCTCTAACAGATTTAGTGATTTGCCAAAAAGAACTCTCAATATCTAAAAATAGGACTGTATATTAGTTGTGTTCAATAGATTATTCTCTTGTTATTAATTAACTTCACACGCATTGCCACTGATATCGACAATATAGTTCATTGGTAAGTAATAGTCAAAACTAATCAGTGGATAATAACTTCTGGATAAATAATAATTGGAAATTAGGTATCATTGTACAACTGTACCTTTCAAAAATTTATGAGAACTGTTTAACAAATAGTACTAACATCACAACAAATGATTCTACAAATTGGATTGATAAAAATATTAAAGACGCAGATAGTTGTTAAGCCATACTACCATGACTGACATTTTAATTGTCTTATTTTACCTTCCCCGGTGGAGGTAACCTTGTACTTCCAACGCTAGTATATAATCTTTAATTCCGGTTTCTATAATCGAAGTACCATGATATGATCAAAAGCATCGTTACTTTTATTACATTTTTATATTATTTATAGAAAAATATATGTATCATATACTCGTATATATAAATATATTATTTTCATTAATTATACCAGATAGGTAAATGTGAAATTATTCGTAATTAAATTTTATTACAAGGAAAACACATGTTGCTGAAAATATAAAAAGTATGAATATAACAATATATTTATGTAAAATGTTTTTATATTATTACATTTGTACAGATTATGAGTGTTTCTATATAAAAAATAATTTTATTATGGTAAAGCTATCCTGCATCATTTTTTTTATCACACGGGTAGAGACAATAATATTTAATATAATATTTTCAAACAGTTACTTTTATATATCGGTCTCTGTGTAGTCTTATAACGATGTTAAAGTAGTCTAGGACTTTCCCGCTTTATGCACATTAGTTTTTCTTATTATCTTCATTCACTTAGGTATACATTTTATTACGGTAACTGCACTATATGTAATAATATAAATCCCTACTATATACTGATTACAAATCATTTCATTAGGTACTTACTATTATATTTAAATTTAAAACTCATTTATGTTATATGACTGATAACTTTATATAAAAATGAGAAGCTAATACACTTTTTAAAACATAAATACGGTTGTCCTATATATAATTAAGCCATTACTTAACCCTTTTCTGTAATTCTTAATGTTAGCATATGTGGCCAACGCTTGAATGATAAAAGTGGCACTCGCAACGACTCATGCAGTCATGCCCCCTGCCGAGTTTGAGATGATTTGTCGATGTATACGGCAGTTACTAATTTGTCTATGTGTGTGTTTCAGTTACATCGCATCGAGTATGTCCACACGAGACATCTAATATACCGGGATGTTAAACCGGAGAATTTTTTAATAGGTAGAACAGCAACTAAAAGGGAAAAGATCATTCACATCATTGGTGAGTATGTAGTATGTAATATAATAGCTTTGAGTTGGATTTCTCCCATATTTAGAAAATATGCCGATATTAGAAAATATACTTATTATTTTTTGTTCACTTGTAATCCAACAACATGTAATGGCATAAAATTACAATTAAGTACTTTGCACTATAACCACAAACATGTTCGCGTATTACCAGACCCTCTTGTGAAAATCCAATCAAATTCAGCATAGATATCTATCTGTTTTATAGCTGCTGGGGGTTTTTTTAGGTCGTCCAAATAAATCAGTCGGGACATCAATCAGGCATCTCTATACTTATAATATTTCAACTATAATTATATGTATTGTTATTAAAACATTGTTGAGCGAGTCCGTCAACATTATCTACCTCTCTATTCGTATGAAAATCAGCCTATTCACATAATTATGAATATTAAATTCTCGTTCTTGTATCATGACTGAAATGTATGTGGGTGTATTGTAAGGTTTCATAGAAGCCGTAGGGAAGTGGGTATACATTGGCTTTTAAAATTTGTGCCATAAATTCGTATTAAATTCGTGTAACATAGCTGTATGTATAATAGTAAGAGGTAATATACAATAGTACCTCTGTCTCACTCTTTTGACCAGCGGCAAAACTGCTTCATTGCATATTATGCCAACGCATCAGAGGTACTACTGGTGTCAGATGTTAATATAAGGATGCCACGGCATGCCGTAAGGTTGTTTGCTACTTGAATTACATAAATAAATTAAATATTCTTATATTTTGTTTTACGTACTTTTAGATAAAAATCATATTATATATTGTGATAGGAGTAGGTCCTTTAAAACTTATAATTTAATAAGGAGATATTTCAAAATTGGTACCCCTTTGACCTACTTATTAAACAATTCAGTACTTACGGAGTCCTATATGTATTATATAGATACTAATCAGCTCTATATGCATACATACATTGTTGCATTCTATTTTGTCAGTTGCATACAACATAACAATACAATACCGTATGTATGTACATTACCAAGTTTTAATATAATATAAGCGGGCCGACCTTACTACCTATATATCTACTATCGAACAATATAATTTAACCTACGTCGCCTGGAATATTCTATACATTTCATGTTCCGTATATTCCTCATCATATACTACTCGTATTATAATTATGTACCTATTACACTCAAAATCAGAATTTTGTGAGTTGATGTTACATTTTTTACATGTATATTTCGGCTTATAAACGACAGTGCGTTTTTTCTAGTTGGGTCTGAAGAAAGATAACTAATGCAATTTTACACAAGGGGTATAAAACCTTGTACCTCATTAGAACCAGTGCATTTGAGCTCTAATGTAATTTTCATGTACATATACTGTTTTTTACGATAGCAATATATGATATTCATATGGCTTTATCATACAAAATATTTACGTTCCGATCCAATATCAGCTGAAACATTGCAAAACACCCACGTCCTAGATATTTATTTTAAACGATTGTTAACAGGTGATTTCTTTTATATAAGATTTGTTGATTCTATAATCGAAATTCTATATTCGAAAATCTTGCAGTGTCATATGAATAGATAAACACACACAAATAGTTATTTATATTTTATACACAGTTATTCGTTTATAAACATGTCATGTTGCACATCTGTACCACACAGTTCACAGTTGGTTGAAGGAACTAACCTACTCAATAAGGCAAACCTTTCAAAGTTATGTAATTAAAATTATATTGTCCTCATTTAAATACGGTCTCTATTATAAATAATGCCTTCTTTAATCGTTTATTCTATTATATAGGGCATGATAATCTTTATTTATCCAAGAAAATTATGATGTATAAATATATATGGAGTATAAATTATAATACACAGTCCAAACTCGAATTACAAATATTACTAACCAATTTCAATATTTTCCTAAAATACCTTACTGTATGTAGTCTATAGCGTGAGGTATTTATCTACCTACGCCCTGTTACTCCTACACTCACTGTTATTATTATTACAAGTAAGGTGCATACGGCTTAGACATGCGGGGGTATCATATAAATGTGTAAAATTTACATTATAGAATTTGTTTACCTTCCACCAATAGTTGTTTAAGGAAATAACTATTTAAAAAAGACTTTTTTAAAGATTACTCGAATCGCCTTTACATATTACAGCATATTTTTATGCGCACAGTAAACAAAGTCATCCGGTATATATGTTCAGCAATAGGTAATAAGATCTAAGAATAGTTGTGTAACACAATCTTTAGTATAGCAAGTCTTGCGGTTGATATATGTACATTATCTCAACGCTCTCATTTACATGCTTGTATTGATCAGAACTTCACTAATAATGTAAACGTGAAAGATTGTGAAGATGGATGGATTGTACACAAAAACGACAGTACAGATTTATAGAAATTTTAAAATGGATATAGACAAGTAGATACCTTTCTAATTTTTACCCCAATTTGCCTGCCAACGCTACGGGATTCAGCTACTTGTTATAATATTTATGTACCTACACGACTGTTTTCCCCGATGGGGGTAAATTTGAGGTAGTAAACCAATGACACAATACTGTTACAGATATTTGTTAATATATTAATTTGTGATTGTTTCTATTTTCAGATTTTGGGTTAGCCAAAGAATACATAGATTTAGAAACGAACAAACATATTCCATATCGGGAGCATAAATCACTAACTGGAACCGCAAGATATATGTCAATAAATACACATTTAGGGAAAGGTAAATAACTTAAGTTTTTAAATGTAAAAGTTTTATTCTTAGTAAATTACATATTAATGTTATGTTATAAACCATATTTATTTTATAACCTTATATATTATGGTACTATATTGTCATTTGTAGTTATTGGTTTTAATAGGTTTAATAACTTAAGTTTTTAAATGTAAAAGTTTTATTCTTAGTAAATTACATATTAATGTTATGTTATAAACCATATTTATTTTATAACCTTATATATTATGGTACTATATTGTCATTTATAGTTATTGGTTTTAATAGGTTTAATTAAATTCTGTAATTAGTACATATTGACCTTTTAAATAATATTAAATTTTATCTTAATCTTTTGTTTTATATTAGTCCTAATTGATCTAGAATTTAATTGCTTATTTGCATGTTGATCTTTGTTATTTCATGAACAAAAATATTAAATTAAGTTTTTATTTTCAGAACAATCTAGACGCGATGACCTAGAAGCTCTCGGGCATATGTTTATGTATTTTTTACGTGGTTCCTTACCCTGGCAGGGTTTAAAAGCTGATACTCTCAAAGAAAGATACCAAAAAATTGGTGACACCAAGCGAGCGACACCAATTGAGGTATGTATATTGTGTTTACATGTTATCATTATGGATATATATATCTTTCGTATTTTAATCTCTTTGCTTACCATGAAATAATTGTCTACCATTGCACAAAATTGAGAAGTTTTGAAATTTGTTACAGAAAATTGAGCTGTAAATGAATGAAAGTGATGTTTCTGTTAACATTGACATAAATCACAGAATTACTAATGTTGAACTATTATGACGCATTACTTTTTTTGACAATTCATAGGTACATAGATTTAATGTATGTAGGTAGTAGTTAGGTTGGTGTGTAAAATATACTTATGGTTTTACTATTACTATAATATATGGTAGTTGTTATCATATTTTTTACACGTTTTTCTCTATTTAAACGATTAACTGTCATAGTGATAGTAATAAATATTAATGACAATTACCCTCTTAAGATAGTCTTTAATAGCATACACTTCCGTCTTTATAATCTGATTGTACTGATAAATTATATCTTTTCATATGTTTAATAATAGGTAATATATTTTTTGAAACACTGATAAATAAGTACATAAACTTGGACGTTTGATATTAGCAATATTGAAATTGTACGGATATTAATGGTATTAAAATATCTAAATAAGACACCTGATGACTAACGGGTATATTATCATGTAAATGTGCTAGTAAATATTGCTTATTTTATCTATGGCGTATGAATCTTATAATATCTGAAATATCTTCTAATTCTTTCTATTTAAACAAAAGCCGTATTTTTAGACATTGAGTCGCTATTTTACACATGCCATTAATCTTCACAATATACATATAAATCACGCCCAATACAATGTCCCAGTATAAACAAATTCTTAAACTTCCCCACATTCATTCATATAATTTTACCAGTTAGGTGTACTTTTAGTATATTCGTCACCTTTTAGCTTTGTACGTCTTTTTAGGCCTGCATATACTCTCATTTCATTATATCTGTTTCGTAATTGTTCTTTCAACAATACTTTCTAAGAAATCTGATTATCATAACATTCCTTTTTCAATGCCATGTTGGCATCCATCAGTTAATTCATTAGTGCTGTAGTTATGATCAAAAATTATTTTTCTAACTATTATATACTATACTTCCCAAATATCTCCTTAGTGTCCAGTCATTGATGTCACTTTTCGAATTTTCGATGGTGATATACGGGATATCTTTATTTTAACTAACCTTATTGATATTGCAGGTGTTGTGCGAGGGTCACCCTGAGGAACTAGCGACGTACCTTCGTTACGTGCGTCGGCTGGACTTCTTCGAAACGCCAGACTACGACCAGCTACGGCGAATGTTCAGAGAGCTCTTTGAGCGGCGAGGGTACGTCGATGATGGCGAGTTCGACTGGACCGGCAAGACTATGGTAAACAATAGTGTTTCATAAACAATGCAACCCCACTTTCCCATCTGAGCTTTCTCCCTATCGATATATTATACCCTAACATTCTAGAGCATTACAGCTTGCCACACTCTTAATGCATTGTGGTGATACCGCTGCCATACTGCACTCGCTGCGCATTAATATGTATAGTTACCTATTTCGTTGATAATCTGCACAAATAAATAATACAAGATATGGAAACGTCTGCAGTTAATATAGTATCATTTTCTTCAATATGATATCATACATAATACCTCAATAAGTTCAAACAAATAAATAGTAAAAACTGCCTGTAAGTTTGTAAATAAAATTAAAATATATTGGGAATAGATACAATCTGATACATATACTATGTCATTCTCTAACTTTAACTCTAGAGAGCTCTGTGACATTACATACTTTAAATGAATTTCATTGATTAATAGTATATTATACTCGTAGAATACTTTTAATTACTGACTATGATACTTTTGTATTGTTAAATCTACAAACACACCAACGCGACAACATCCTTTTGTTAACGATATGGTGCGATGTAACTTCGCTAGCATGCTTGCTATGTTCGGTTATTTATGTATATTGATCGTAATTTTGATGTTAACAAATTCAACTGACAAAGATATAAAAATGAAATTTTTATTCTGAATAATATGTAATTTATGCTTTAATACACTCAATGACCATCATTATACATAGTTATATTTATTAAATTAAATTTATATTATTTTAAATTCATATTATTAGTATTTCTAAAATTCCGGTTGTTTCTAAACGATACTTGACATTTTTATATGCTTTGTGTTTTTATACCTACCTACCGTAATTTATAATAATAGTTCCCAGCTTTGAAATTGTTTTTCGGTTGTAATATCCATAAACATATTTTAGTAGTTGAAATAATCTAAAATATAATAGTTACGATATTCATGGCAGCTTAGTTAAAGCTTACAATTTTCAAGTTTTACACACAGAGATTGGAGAGTGAAAGAAAATTTCAAAGGAGACTATTAAGGAGTATTTATTACTAAGTTAACAAAAATAGCAAAAAATTTAGCAACATATGTTTGAGTTTTTTGTATAAATATTACAGGGATTACAAAATTATTTACAAATAATAAGTTATTTTCTATTTATTATAAATATAAATGATACGATGAATGATATTTATATATGTCCTGTACTATGTCTGTCATTTATACAATGAAATGATTTATACAAATTGAAATAGTGACATTCCAAATTTTTTTTTTTAATACAATATGAATTAATTATAATTTTGTAACATGTGCTCAATAATTTTGATGTTTGCTGATTTTGTTATGAATAGAAACTTAATACTGCATTAAGGAATAACTAATGAAATTGTCAAGTAATTGTATTAAAATGAACTAAAAATATATTTTGTAAAACTTTCATATTGAAACAATGCAATTTTTCATTTCAGTCGAAGATAGGCTTAAAAACTTAATTTATGTTTGATTTTTGTCATTTGTCATGTGTACATGCTTTAAATAATATGCACGAAAATTTGACTTCTAATATTTTTCTGTAACGTTGTACAAATTGTATAAAATAATATTGTAGTTATATAGTACAATTATATATTTTTGGTATTTTTTTTTTGTTACTTGAGATAAACATTTTTATTTTTTCAATGTAGTCATGTATGCCTTACGTATGACCATTTGATGTTTTTTACTTAATGTAGACTACCGTAGGTTTCCTTGCTATTAATGGAAATTACATATTTATTATTTGTTTAATATAATAAAAAATATATCCCATTAAGAAACTGTTTTTGTGTAGATAGCAATGTGAATCGATTTTCTAATAGTTAAATGAGGTCACTACTGTGCACGTTGATAGTGGGTATACAATGTATACTAGCGATACGATGTTGGCGTAATTTCATTGAAAAACTATTACTTTTTTCTTTCGAGATAATAATAACTTGTTAGAGTATTAATATTTCTGTCTCAATTTAGTAATAATATGGCATTTTATAAACGCTCAATAGTAATAAATTAGTAAATAAAAATCACTGCACATCTGGTAATCAAATTTAGTTACAAAAACGAGTGAGTTAATAAGATTACTGAAAATGTATAATATCAATGTTCATCCTGAATTTTGTTATATTTACACTGAAACATATATTTTGGATATTAAATATATTGTGTTGATGCAGGATGTGATCTCATCTCTTTAGTCTCTTCAATTAATCTGTTTGTACGTGATTAAGTAATACCACCAATATTTATTATTTAAAATATTCGCTGAGCGTTCGTGCTTATCGAAATATAGTACAAACATGTATATCGTTGGAAATCTGCAAAGATACAATATAACAATGATACAAAAACTGCACGTGTACTCATGAATAGCCAACATTGCTTATCTGCTCAAGTATGCAGTGATTGTTCCCTTGTGTTCAATGGTGTTTTGCATGCCGCATGCTTTCCGCTTTTGTTGGAAGCAGCCCCCGAACATTCACGTGATGCGAATATTACGCAACGCGCCGCCATCAAATATTGTTAGAAATAAGTCGGATAAGGTTAGTGCTTTCTTTGTATATGTTGCTTTCAGTATCCGGTTTCACGTGGTATTAGACAATGTAACAATGTTTATCCTCATTCTCGCATTATTCTTTTAACATATCTTGCATTGTTCATTAGTGTTGTTTAGTGATAACCTTGATAGTATATTCAATATTGTAAGTATAATTTTTGTTTCTGCCTTATTTTCTTTACAAAAACTTTATTATTCCACAAATTTTTCTATTTCATACATTGTTATATCAATAAACTAAGGTTGCGTGATCTTTCTTTAAATATGTATATAAAATATTTCCATTAAAAAAACATATTATTTAGATACCTACATATCAACACTAAATAAATACATAAATTATTTTTTAAATGCACTGTTAAAATTAATTATTACTTCCAGAAGTATAATGTAGATCATTAAATGTATTATTTTTAATATAGGAATATTATATGGGAGTAGCCGTTAATTGTCCTCATAATTCACATTTTTATATGTACATTAATTGCACTATTTTATAGGTTTCACTTTAATTTTGTACCGTAATTATAACGTAGACGCTAAATCGTAATTTTGTTTTGCGGTAATTTGGTTTTTATTGTACTTTTATGGTTTCAGTCTACGCCAGTGGGTTCTATTCAGACTGGTCACGAGATCGTCGTGTCTCCAAATCGTGACAGACATCAGCCATTTCACAAGGTTTGTATGTTCATCTATATTTACACCAATTTGTTTACTAGTTTTTTGTCTTATTTACATGAACACTATTTCAAAAAGTATAGTAAGTTATATTCAATTAAACAAAAATGTCATTACTATCTGTGACTCGGGAGTTAGGTATATATTTTTTAAGTTAAATATAGCGTGAAAAGGCAATAAACATAACAATCCACATATAACACCATTTTATTTTTCTAATGTGAATTGTGACTGGTTATGTTTTATAATTTATTTTATTAGGTTTACGTACGGTACGGTACGGTATTACGTTTAGGTTTTTATTACTTTATAAATACGATACCATGGTGGTTCTGGTGAAATATTCTACAAAGCGCTTGTAGGATAAAGATGTTTAGATAATACATACAACAACTGTATTAAAAGAAAAAGCCAGAAGAAAGATAATCAATGCCTTCTCCATTGATAATTTGTACATTTTCAGTTAAGTAACGTAATTTTGTTATAGCATTCGACCCCTCACTTATAAAATATTTATTAAATAACAGTTTAGTGGGTAAAAATCACTGCCTACTTATAAAAGTATTAAATATTTATCACCTTTTACTAATGGAAATTTCATAAATAGTTTTTTTAGTATATAACAGGCTTCATGAAAATGTGTTATTGGCTCATTTTAAGAAAATGTAACACTTGGTTAAAATAATTTTCTACGAACCTTTTTTTATGGGTAAGGCTGTCATGATATTAGAGTTTATCAATTATATATACGCAATTATCCCTCAATAAAATCATTTAGACGAACTCACAAAGCTTTTTTGTCGGTGCAGGATGATTTGTGTGATTATATGATTGGTTTGGTTGAGGACGATGAGGCGGCGCTAATTACTGGAGAGGTTTGGTCCGCTTTTAATTATATCTTACTTGTTTTGTATTAGTTCGCTCTCCTACGCCAGTCGCCTGACACCTCCATTGTCCATTGCCATCCCCTTCCGCAATCTAGATCTGAAATCTATTCAATATGACACCCACAATTGTAATTATTATCATCTACAGGCTTTAGTCGTACCTATAAACTCATTTTGACTGTACTCATTAAACTGAATAACTTGCTCTAATATCATCCTGTTTAGTATGAAAGGTTCTATAGTTATTTTCATATTTCCATTACTGAAAGTTATATAGTTTAGAAAGTGCTTTTTAGATTTAGTATATTATGCTATTTACGTCTAACTCTATAATATAATTATTCATGAATTATTGAAAGTAAGAATATATTTCATTATTATGTGTACTACCTATTGTTATTTAAACATTCTTTTCTAATGAAGAATGTAAAATATTAATCAAAATATACTTTGGTATAAGACAACGAAAAATAATTAATTCCTTTATTTATGTTTCTCAATGATGACATTGATTCTTTTTCTTACTCAATAATCATTATGTTGTAGCTTACAGTTCTGTTTTTTGTTTGTCTAGTGTTACCGTAATCCTACTCACATCATGAAAACCAATACTATTGGATTTGATAGAGGATAATATCTTGTGGACATTATCATCAGTAACAGTTGAAAATAAAAATTCTTCTATCGGCTAATGTAGTTGATTTTTGAACTTCACATAAGGTGGTAACTGAGGAAAAATGCTTGTTTAAGTCGTTTAATGAAACTACTGAAGGAAAATCATTAGAATGTTTGCACAGCCCAAGTGACTTGAGAAACTTCCAATTATTGGCCGAAGAGGAATTTTTAATATTCGTGTGGATATATCGGCGTTTGGCAGCTCTTACCATATAGTTCTCTTCACAACGATCCCTTTTGAAAGTCCTAAAGGCACGGTCACGTCTTCTCATGACCATGCGTATTCCACTAGTTAACCAGGGAGCTGGTTGTCTCTTAACCTTGACAAGGTGAGATGGTGCGTGTTTGTCCATGATTTACAGAACTGACTTGTTAAACGCGGATACCTTGTCGTTAATAGAAGAGACTGGCAGCACATATGACCAATCAGCGTCAATCGCATCCTTACCCAGTCGAGTGGTATCAACTCTCGAAAAGTTACGTAGACGAAGTGCAGCCGGTTTTGGTTTAAAACTTTTGTTGTTGTAACAAATGTAAATAAGGTTGTGTCTGGAGAATTATACGTATAGAAGTGGTCGAATAAGCAATGTATTTGGCAAATTATATTATTAATTAAACTTTCTTATTTATAAACTTACTAATTTTGATGCTAGTAATTACTTGTATAAACCGTTAATATATATATATTTCCAAGGCAGGTCAAGGTTATAGATCTTGTATATATATAACCTTGAACCAAATACAGCAGCGTCTATTCATACATTGACCCTGCAACTGAGGTCACGAATCGAAAACTTATAAAAAAAAATTACACAATAATTTTACATATCAGCAGATTTTGAAATCTATTTTTTATATATACAGCACCAAAATATTTGTAATGTTAGTATTTTTTATTGAATAAATTTAATGATATTTTTGTTTTATTAAAGTATATTTAAACGAGTTATATTTTTATGAGTATCTAATAAAATATCAGATTTTTCTTAGTCAGAAAAAATATAAATGTATAATAAAAATATAAATATCAGATAATTCTTAACCGTATTGAAATAATATAATAATAAATTATAAAATTATATTTTTTTATTTTTAATTTGGAATGAGAATTACCCAATTTGAAATAAAATAATTACATGATATGATAAAGTCATAAAATTAATAAGAAAACTTAAACTATTGTTACCAGTGTATACTTAGATAAATAGTACATACTTTGATGAATGTGTGAATGTACGAGAGATATTGTTTGATTTAATATTCTATTATCTATTAATATATATTATAATGTTAACGTATATCGATATGACAGCACCTCTGGACGTATATCTTTTTATTTTTTATTTGTAAACCTCTCCATTCACATCATATCCCGTAATTAAAAAAAACATTTTGAATGAATCATTTATTTATTTTATATTTTTTGTACATTCTAATTTCTTATTAAGATCATTTACATGAAGCATATACTTTCCATGCTAACTAGCTTATCGCTTATTTTTTGGATTTTTGTTAGACTTTTTAACCAAAATTGTTGTGTGGCTTTAACTAGATTTGTTCAACATTTGAATTTACGTTTCAAATGTATTTTTTTGTTTTTTGTAGCTATTTATTCATTTAATATAAAATATTAATATTTATCGATGAAAGTAATAATTTTTAATAATTTTACATTGTGATTTTACATTTTTAACGAACATCCGAACTAGATTTTTCAAATGCAATGGTTTTTTTTTTCATCGTTATGCAATATAGTTTTTCTTACATCCTTACCAATAAATAGTAATCCATTTCAATTTTTATTTTTAATATATAAATACGTAATATTATTTATCTTTTGTTAATTTGGTCATGAATGAGATAATGATTATTATTTGAAAAACATTTATTTTCTGTTTTTATGTATTTATATTCATATATTACAAATACCCTGTCATCAATAAATCGCAGCCCATTTTATCAGTAGAGTTGACTTGTACTTATTTTAATGTAGTTTTTAATATTTTTATCGATGCTTGAAAATTATTTATTATTAGCTCTTTTTATTATTATTATAAATGGGTTTGCGCTTGGTCTTACATCACCTCATGTAATATGCATTGTGAGAGACTTTCTCCCTTTCACATTTTTCCTACTTCCATTTTTCATTAAAAAATAATACTGCATTAAACATTATTAAACATTTAAATGTTTAGGGATACCGCTTATAAAATACTATGGAAAATTAGCAACACCACAACAACAACAACTTTTTATTTTCTAATTATTTTCGTTGTTGATTTCTACCTTATAATAATTAGCTACTTATTTACTGATAAGATAAATTAGGTACAGTCAGCATTAGTAATCAAACTTAATATGCACAGAGACTTTTACAATAATTATTATTTACCTCAATTACAAATCCCAAAGAACTTATTTGATAACAGTGTGTAACATATACACTTTACAGTAATCAGGACGAATATAAATTTACTATGAATATAATTTATAGTTACAAAGAATTTATACTTAGGTTATTAGAAACTTCTATATACATTATTAATATATTTGCCATAAACATTACAGGGGGCTGTGAAGGATTCTGGCACTGGTGGGACCGCTAACACAGGCGGCAATTGGCCCCATAGCGGCAAAGCAACTCCACTCACTACCGGCCATCTCACTCCAGCGGATAGACATGGATCTGTGCAGGTAATTTATAATATTTTTTACAATATATATATTCTATGTAATATTGCTAACTACATACGAGATATCATTGACGAAACAGTGTTGTTCATTCTGAAGAGTTTTGGCTTTAAGTCTTTATTTACTACCAGGCAGACTTGTGGTATAAAAGTATCGGCATTTAAACTAAGTCTCAGTCACCTAAATCCCAAGCTTCAATGTATGTCATAAACAAACGTTACCGACGTCTTTTTTTCTATATTTATATTATTACTAGAGATGAGGTCGATCACTATTGTTGTCTCATATATGTTTATGTGAAAAATTATTAATAGAATAACTTGTAAAATATCTATTATTTAAATAGTTTTTTTTTTATTTCTAAGAAATGAACTTAGTTAAACCAGGAAAATAAATATCGGGACCATTTTCACGAATTTATTGTCTAAATAGCAACATTTAAGAACATTGTGGCCTGTCAACCTCACGGCCAACCTTTTTATTCTCCTGGTTTGTAACTAATATACAAAGGTGAGGTATTTTTTTTTTCACTGATATCTGTAAATGTTTTGAGGTTGTTAGTAAAGTGTAGTGTACACAGTCGTCAACACTATGTAATTCACACGTAAAGTAATTTGTTAAATTAAAAGTAGGTGGCAGTATAAAAATTTCATCTTTTATAATCACCGTGTAATTCCTGCATGTATATTTATACATACTGTATATAGATGTAATTATATACGCAATATTATCATTTATTTTATGTTGAACTGTGAATGTATATTGGTGTATTTATTTTTTAGCTGTTGAAGAATAAACATTTTCGGTATGTGAAATTTCCCGGATCATTAACAACGGTCAGTTGACATTTTGCGGCAGTCGTTGTGTGTTTGTTTGCATGACGCTTCAAGTAACCAGCAACTTAGCACTGCCAATATTCATTCATATAGTTTCTTGAACCGCTAGGACAATATAAAGCTGCTAGTTTTAACACCTATCGCTTTTTATTTCTCGTTATTCACTATAAAATAATTATTTTATTTTATACGTGTCATTCAATTTTCTAAGGGGATCGGCAGAGCAAGCTCTCTAATCGATCGTAATAAGTGGTGCGGCGGTGGCTATGATCTAGCCTTCTTCGATGGACTATATTATTGTATAGGAAACTGGCTGGTCAAATATGAATGACTTACCCTTACTTCAATGTGCTTGTTCTTCAGTGGGCCCACACGGTTACGGGAATCTCAGGAATTCACTCAGGTTGATTACAACTATTAAGACATGCGTGCGATATGAGTGCGACGTGCGCGCGCGGCGAAAGCTATGACATCACTGATTATTGAATTAGCCGGGAGGGGTGTCAATGCACAAGACAAACCAGGTACGCATCGCGTTTGGCGTAACCATGCCCCCCGCCTTGACATAATGTCAAAGTAAAATTAACAAAAAAAATAAAGGAACTACATAATTGAACCTTATAAAGAAAAAATACAAAAAATGTCAAATGCGGAATTTACTAAATAAGAAAAATGCAAAGGATTTTAACTTAACTTATTAACCTATTATAAATGCGTACTACCTATCTTATAGAATACATATTATTGCAAAGGCAATGGACATATGCGGTGCGTTAGGAGGGATAAGGGTCCACTTAATTCCATTGTTAGCTAATTCCTTATCCCAAACAGATCTATTCTTGCGATAAAAACAAATAAAGTTCACGTAGGTAGGATCGTGCCCCTATAAAATTAGTACCATGATCCGTATACATGCATTGAATAGGACCGCGGCGAGCGAGAAAACGTTTTAACGCGGCGAGAAAACAAACTGTACTCAATTCACTTGCGAGCTCAATATGAACAGCCCGAGTGGATAAGCACGTGAATAAGCAAACGTATGCTTTGCGAATACCACGACCGCGATAAGGGGTTACAAAAAACGGACCTGCGAAATCACAGCCACAATGGACAAAGGCTTTAGGAACTTCCTTCACCCTTAGTGCAGGCAGATCACCCATCGGTGGGAATGTAGGACGCGGTTTATTGCGGAAACAAATATTACAATTAGCTACGATCGTGCGAATTACGTCGAGCTGCGAGAATCCAATATTTAGTACGTAGTATTGACATTAACAATTCTGGGCCTGTATGCATTTTTACGATGAAAGTGTGTTACAATTAATTGAACTATATGATCTCTGCCCGGAAGTAATATAGGGTGTTTATAATCGAAATCTTCATCAGAATGAGTCAGACGACCACCAACTCTTAAGAGATTGTCTGATAAAAATGGATTTAATTTAATTATTGATGCGGTACAAGGTTTTTTATTATTTAACTTGCTAATATCGTTTTTAAAATGAAACCCCTGCACAGCGCGAACAATTATACGTTCGGCGAAATCCAAATCGGAACTGGATATGACGCCGCGTGGAAGAATGTTAGCGATTATAAATATAACAAATTACACGAAGTAATTTCATCCATGACGAAAATTTGCGAGCGAGCGAATATAAATAAGGTTCCATAGAATCTTCAATGGTAACCAATAGGTTTTAATTCTGGAATGTCCGATGAATCCGCAGCAAGAAATGGCTTAATTGGCCATTGTCCCTTTGGTTTACAAATCCATGGTGGACCATTTAACCAAAGGGGGTGCGTTGCGAGTTGAGCAGGACTCAGTCCCCGAGACAGGCAGTCACTGGGATTGTCCGTGCCCTTAATGTGATAAAAATGCGTTGGTTCCATGTTTTCATGAATTTGCGATACTCGATTCGCAACAAACGTATGCCATTTGTGTGGCGACGAGTGTATCCATTTTAATGCGACCGTAGAATCCGAAAATGCGAATACCGATTCTATGGGGTATCTTGGCGAATAAACTTGATAAATAATTTTGATTAATTTAGAAAGAATTACAGCGGCACACAATTCCAATCGTGCCAAAGCAATTAAATGGTGCTACCTTTGACTTGGCACATAAAAGTGTAATATTTGAAGTACCATCTGGCAGTTCAATATACGCGTATACACAAGCACCATATGCGCGTTCGGATGCATCAGCAAATCCGAGAATGTTTAATTTGCAATTATCAATAACACCTATATGACGAATAAATTTAATGTTAGAAATGAGTGGTAATTCAGATTGGAATTGATTCCACGTGCGAACAATTTTTGCGGGGGCGTTTCGTCCCAATCGAGTTTTAAAATCCAAAGTTGTTTAATTAAAAGCTTTGCATATAATATTATAGGCGCGACTAAACCTAAAACATCGAAAAGTCGTGCGACTGATGATAAAATATTGCGTTTGGTGCATGGACGATTAATGGGAGTAACTTTAAATGCGAAAACATCATCTGATGTAAACCTAAAATTTTAAGCGTTTCATCCTTATCGATTCCAATTTTGCGAAAAACGATTACTTTCTGGAATGTGCTCTAAGACCTTTTTACAATTGCTAGTCCATTTTGCCAGTTCAAATCCACCAGTCAAAAATAAAGCGGTGAGCTCTGATGCTGCCTGCGAGGCATCTTTACTATTCTTAACTGAACTAACAACATCATCAACATATATGTCTCTCTTTACAATTTCATGCGCGATTGGAAATTTATTTCCTTCATCGGAAGCTAACTGAGCTACAGTACGTAACGCTAAGTTGCAACGTAAGCCAAATGCAACTTTATTAAATTCAAAGACTTGGAGCGGTTTATTAGGACTAAATCTATATACAATACGTTGAAAACAACGATCTTGCGGGCGAACTTTTATTCGTAAATACATTTGTCGCACATCAGCTGAGATGGCGACTGCGAACAATCTCATATACAAGAGAATAATAAATAAATCCTGTTGTAAGGAAGGACCTGTATGTAGAATATCATTAAGCGAAAATCCAGTACTAGACTTCGCGCTTGCGTCTAGTATTTTCGTGGACACTTTGTCCTCATAAGACTGCGTGATGCGGTATAAAATAACTAGGGCTGTTATTTTCAATTACGTCTACGGGAGAAATATATTGTTTTTCTATATATTCGTGAATTACCTCATCATAAAGGTATTTCAGTTGCGGTTGCGATGCGAATTTACGTTCCAAATGATAAAATCTGCGTTTAGCGATATCGAAAGAGTTCCCTAAAGACTTAGAACTATACTTAAATGGTAAAGCGACTTCGTAGTGACCTGATTCGTTACGAGTGGTCGTTGTGGTATAAAAATCTTCACAGTATTTATCGTCTATACTTGTTATTGGTTTGCGATCTACTTCTTCAATCTCCCAAAATTTGCGAATTAATACTGAAACCTCGCACGAAGTGGTGGAACAGAACGAGAATGAAGAAGACGTAGAAGTTAAGGTGGGAGCTTCACCTAAAATAAGATAACCGAGAACAGTCTCCAACGCGTTTGGAGTACCAGGTGAATTTATAATTTTACCTCCAGACAAAAGGGTCGCGAATAGATTGACACCAATCAAAAGGTCAATTTCTGATGGTGTTCCCCACGTATCATCTGCGAGCGGAATATTAGTTAAGTAACTGAGCGCGCCAACATCAATTTGACATGTTGGTAAGTTACCTAATTTTATTCAAAACTAAAGCGCGAATATTATAATATTGCTCATGATTAAATCTCGATCGGAAAGAGAGATCAACTGCACCCTTAACTGGTTCAGTGGCGCCACCTATACCCTTAACGGTGGTATGTGCGTCCGGCTGCATGGTTAAACCCAATTTTAAACAACACTTAGAAGTAATATAATGCTTTTGTGACCCGGGGTCCAATAAGCAGCGAATGACAACATCACTCCCATTACGAGCAGTAGCAAATACCTTGGCAGTAGCAAGTACTTCAGTCACATACGGCTGCTCATGAATGGACGATGAAAGCGTGCATAAACTCCTTGTCTCCACCAGTGGTGGTTCCAATATAGTTGGTTCTAATCGTGTCTGTTGTGTGGGTTGTGTGTGCGCAAGCGGAGGCAAACGAAGAAGATGGTGGTAATTGGCGACCGTGCGTGGAAGATGTCTGTGCGTTTTTCGTATCCTGAGATACTTGCGTAGGTGCGGAATTATTATTTTTAAAACAAAGCAACGTATGATGTCTCGGATTGTTACAATTTCGACAGGCGGAAGTTGATTGACAACTGAAAGAGTTATGTTGACTACTTAGACATCTAGTACACATACGGTTAGTTTTAATATAATTAAATCGATCATTAATTGTGAAAGTTGAAAATTGTTTGCATTTATATAATTGAGAATGTGAATCACCTTTACATAAGGAACAATAAATGCGTTGCGTAGGATTAGTACCTAAAAATGTACGTGGCGATCGAGCGATCGATCGTTGATGCGACTGTGCACGACCACTGGCGGACGCGGCGGCGGGACCGTCCAACTTGGTGGCGGCAGCGGCGCCGGCGGTGCGGTTACACGTGCGTTGTAATATTTTTACGTGTTGACGTATAAATTTTATAAAATTTTCAAACTGCGGTATGTCATCTTCTCCTCTAATTGATGACTCATACGACTGCGCGGTAGCCTGATCTAATGTCTTTAATCCCATATAAATAAATATAAAATCATCCAGCTTTTCAATTTTAAGTTGCTTTAATGCTGCGATAGTCGACGAGAAAGTATCAATAAATTTTTCTAAGTTTATTGCCGAAGGACCGTTAATTGATTTTAAAGAAAATAATTTATCTAAATATAACGTTGCAAGAGAGCGTTTATCTTGATACTTGTCGATTAAAGCTTGCCACAATATAGGATAATTTTCGGCTGCTGGTACTAAGCCAGCACACAGATTTCTAGCCTTTCCTGACAGGTGACTCATAAGATAATGAAAACGTACTGAGTCCGAAAAGGATTCATTGTCATGAATAACCTGTTTGAATGTTTCGTAAAAGAAAGGAAATTCTAAAATATCACCTGAGAAGACTGGTAACACAATTTGGGGGATCCTTACTGATCCCTGTTTGTTGTCTGGTAAAGCAGACTGACAAGCGGGAGCTGGAGTTCGCGAAGATTGAGGTTGTAACGAGACCGCCATCATCTTTATAGAATAAAACATTTCGTCAAAAGCGGTGAGAGATTGATAATTAACTACATAATCAGGGTTTAGTTCCAAATTAAGGAGAATAATTTCATCGACAATTTTAACATACTCGGTGCGCATTTGATCGATCAGGCTAACTTTTGCAATAAAAACATTACGATGTTTCTCCATTTTAGTTTTCGAAGATAATTCATAAATAGACTGAAGTTGCGAAAAATATTGTGCACGTTTTGCTTCATACATTTTTAATTTTGCGTTTGTGTTAGCCATTATTATTATTTATATATATACTTCTTAAAAAATAACAAAAATAAATGCGATATATAAAACTATGTGCGGTAATAACGTACAACTATACCTGTACTACCGTAAAAGGGCGAGCGATAAACAATAATAAAGTATAATAGGTATTTAATGTACTAAATACCTACAAGACAGACAGATGTACTTGTAGCGAAAATAAGTACACAAATGCGAGAAATGATGCGCGATATAAATTAGCATACATAAAAATATATATGCTTACTATGCTATAAAACTACTAATTAATAATGCGAAAAATAGGTACAACTATTATCTATATATACCTATATGCGAGAAAAATAAAATAATGCATAAAAGCAATATTTTAAATATGCGGTGCGAGAAGTAAATCACAATAACGTTTTAAACACTAAAGCGCGTGACAAATAAATTTATATATACCTACTCATAAGCGGTAGTATGTAGGTACATAAGTGCGACAATACGGAATGTAGGTATCGACCATACATCTACAAAAAAAAATATGCGAGCGAAACATAAACTATACATAAAGCGAAATCGAAGTGAGTGATGTCATAGAAAATCAGATAATATATCTATAACTATAACTAAAAAGATATAAAATAACTATGTTCACAACTATTATTTTACGCGGGAGTAGTCTAAAGCGTTGTTGTTAGTCACTGTGTCGATACACCACGTATAACTTAATCATAGGTACGTAGGGCACGATCTTTAACCGACATGTACTGTATAAAACAGCTATGCGAACTAAATACCCAAACAATTTACAATAACCAGCGTATTATACGGCGAGTACTGCAAGGAAATAAAATATCTATTACGAACAGAAATAAAATCGCTGCTTATCAATAATTATTCAGATTAAATAGTGTGCTTTCCCTGCTCACTTTCTTGTGTAAAGACTACGGTAACCAACACTAACAATCTTAACATTCAAACACTACAATCATCATACATAATATTCGACAGGTAATATTGTTTCGTCAAATAGTATAACGACAACTACAATATTTCTAGAAGCTTCGATCGATCGTACAATATCGATATAATGCGGGTGAATGCGAAATTAAATGAACGAAACAACGCAAACAGATATAAAGCGAAATTGAAGAATTGAGCTGCGAGTTATGAACAATTCATAAGCGACATAAATATAAACTTATTTATTAACGAAAATACCAATGTATCGTTATATTTGTGCAACCGTGGTATGCAATTTGAATAGATCCTATTACATGCGCAATAAGGTTCAATATTACATGCGAGTCATTCACTCGACTTTCACAATAGGAAAAAATTAAAACAAATTTTAAATAAATAAATTGCGATTCCTATTGTGATCCGGCGACGGAAGGCCAATAAATGGTGCGGCGGTGGCTATGATCTAGCCTTCTTCGATGGACTATATTATTGTATAGGAAACTGGCTGGTCAAATATGAATGACTTACCCTTACTTCAATGTGCTTGTTCTTCAGTGGGCCCACACGGTTACGGGAATCTCAGGAATTCACTCAGGTTGATTACAACTATTAAGACATGCGTGCGATATGAGTGCGACGTGCGCGCGCGGCGAAAGCTATGACATCACTGATTATTGAATTAGCCGGGAGGGGTGTCAATGCACAAGACAAACCAGGTACGCATCGCGTTTGGCGTAACCAATAAGAATTAATATTATTTTGAATAATTATTTACATAAAATAAGTAAACACTAGACAACGCTTATTTTTGTATTGTTTCTCTTTTATTTTCTTCGCATATCATACTGTTTTAGAGTTCGTCGTGTAAAAGTAATCGTAACATTACTAAATAATTTAAAAAGTATTATTTCGCTTAATTATATAATTATTTATTAATAAATAATAAGTATCGCAATAACTTTCTCATACTGCGTTTCCACCACATCATTAGAACGATACAGATATACATATATAAAACGGATAATGTTTTCTAATGCACACAAATGACAAAACATTTACAGTTAAAATAGATTTATAATACTTTCCTTAAATCTATTTTAACTGTAAATGTTTTGTCATTTGTACTCCAGTTGGTAAAATAGCGCAAAGCGGAAAGGTTAAACACATAAGTATTAGTATTAATTCAAAAATACTCAGATAAATGTATGAGAGAGAGAGAGAAGAGAGGCAATAATAAGTGTTGATGACACTTGATATTGCCTCTGATTCCTCCATCTCGGCGAAGAGTCATAACGATATTTATAGTATTTCTTGTATGAAATGTATTACTATATGTAAAAGTTACAAAATTCTATGTGTGTGGAAACGAAATGTGTAATACAATATTATCATCTTATCCGTAAAACTGCACCGTGCACGCACTTGTGAACGTTCATGCACCCGTAATTGTTCGTACAGTCATTTAAAATAATTTCTATTATGTTTCATTTACGATATCAAAATTATTACAATGTGTAAGGATAAATAGCATATAAATTCGTAAAATGATACTTTTTTAGATATAAAAACAAATGTCTATGTATTTACATAATTTATTACTTATATCAGTTTAGAACCGCGTATTATTTGTTTATTACATAAGTTTGTTAAAATTAGTAGAAAATATGACTATGGAAAAATAACTTATATAATTATTAATATAGTGTTTTATAGTAAATAAGAAAAATATTATTTTCAGTAAAACACAAAATTTAATTCTGACTGTACCAATTTGTTTCTCACCATTATTGTATTAAATTTTACATTGTACGTGTGTTGTTGTTTTTAAATCTATTAAATTGTGATATATACAGGTTCTAAACAATAACAACGTACCTAACATCTATTATACTTTACTCATTGCCTAATATTTATATTTATTTTTTAACAAATTTATACTTAGGTAAGAACAAAACATCATAATTTTAGAATAAGACTTAGAACTTACAACACCTACCGTACGTACCTCGCCTTACCTATGTTATTACTTTCTAAAAAGTAAATATGCGAAATGTATTAGGTTAAATAAAGATCAAAACCTACTGAAACTGAGTCATGTCTGTGTGTGTAAACGTGTTAAAAATGTAAACTAATTAATAATAACAAAATTATTAATTAGTCATGAGGATAACGGAATTTTACGAATACTTGATTTGATTATGAATAATGTATTATAAACTTTTTTTATTTATACATTATGTAATATGTTTGTCAACCTTTTTATTCACCAATTGTCAAAATAAACAAAAATTACGATGTTATATTTAGGTGGTGAGTTCGACCAACGGAGAGTTGGGGGCCGATGACCCCACAGCTGGCCAGAGCAACACGCCCATCACCCAGCAGCAACACGAGGTCGATGTGATCGACGACACCAAGTCAGTGTTCCAACTGTATGGACACCTTTTTATTTTTATTTATTTTAAGCCGCTTGGGTTGCGTTCCATCTGTCCCTTTTCCATTTTAGTTCAATTTATATCTCTTCATACACATTTCATTAATCTCAGTCGTAGATCGATAAAGTATCGGGTTCGATTCCCGAGTAAAACAAATGGTACTGTTACATATGCTTAATTCTTGTTTAGTCACTCTGATCAAATATATCATACTTTAAGGGATTAAAAAATTTTATTTAGATAAATCGTAATGTTTCTCTGTACTTAGTAAATAGTCTGGTACTTGGCTAAAGGGTGTGCACAGTAACAAGTAGCAATTGAAAATTCTAATGCCGAATACTCCAAAAGCAAGGACCTATGGAGCGGCTGAAGTCAACTCGTAACAAACGGATATAACAAATCTGAGATTACCGCTTAGCCGTGGTGATTTCGATTTCTATTTGAATGGGACAGATGATCTTTCTGAAGGAAATTGAGTGATATATTTAAAATCAATCTAATGATATTGTGAACCTTAATGAAATATAGTGTAAATGACACTATATTTAGACTTATGTGTATAGTGCAGTGTCATCAACAGGTTACAAGTAATTAATACTATTATTATTCATATAAAGCTGATTTTAATTCCACAGGCATATCATCATTCATAAGGATCAATGCATATTGACAGTATCACATACTTTTTGTTCATCTTCACATTCCTAAAAATTCATTGGCTTCGCATCTACTTTATATTAAGTTTTTTTACAATCACCATTTCATTTTATCATTATAATATAATAATTACTGAATTCTCTCGTTATGTGTATACAGAAAAATCAATTTTTTTCGAATGGAAAATAGTCTTCATCTGATATTTGCATCTGTAGTTGAAAATGTTGACTGTAATTGCCTCTGAATAGCACGAGAGCTGCGGACCTTACAGAACATACTGTAACGCCCCTGGTACTACTGAAAGGATCTCTCTACATTGCTATTCCAAAAGACTATGATTTATCTACGTGCACTTTACAAGTATTTTTATTTATAATCTTGTAACACAACTTTCAAAAGTTATCGAAATCAGTTACAGAAAATAACCCAAAAAAACGCATAGACAAAAATGCAATAAATTGTAAATTTATTTTTAAGTCGGCCGAAAATGTGTATTACAAATGCACCGTATCAACTTGTACAATGGCAGACTCTGTAAATCGTCATGCAGGCAATCTGTCTACTCCAGGTGCTGTTGCTTCTTCAAACGCAAAAAGAAGAAGTGCGCCGCGCGCGCGGGCAAGTGACGCGAGCGCACGTGACCCGCCCCCGCCCCCGCCCCCGCCCCCACACCACACACCGCCACCGCATACATACCGGAGTGCCTGAAAAGCGGCATAATCAGATCATATGCAATCCTATATGACTGTTCGACCGCTTTGATTTAACATGGGGCCGATTCACAGCGATGAAATCTGACAAATACTAGATGGCCAATCGTTCACTCTTAAACACCTACGGTCTTAAGATAAAGCATAAGTGATTTTATGAAGTTAACCTAATTGTGTTAAGAGTTTAAGACCGCGTAAGTACTTGTAGACTTTCGCTGATCATGCTGTTGATTTTTATGATGCAATAAGAAATGTAGTTGTTGTTTAAAAATATTAATTGTAACTCGTATCAGTTCTAAATAATTATATTGTTAATTTTGCATTCATTCTCTTCTTCTCAGTTAAATCACGAGAGGTTTCAATATATCTCAATACTGATGCTTATACTTTGTCTTGCGGACAATATGAGTGTGGCCTTGGCTACGTGATAATTATATTGTTAGATTTCGTCGCTTTCCTTCAAAGTCCTCTTTAAACGGTAGAAAGTGCTTCTCAACCATTAGTTCTGGACAAACACGCTTGATATAGCTTGATGCTACTGTCAAGCTTTCACACTTGTTTATATTTTAGTGAGCACTGAATCGCAATGCCAAGGCTGTGGTAAGGCAGCACTAACAATCCGTCTATAGGCTACACTTTAGTCGACGGGTTTTCGTTGACGAGCAAATTTCTAGACGGGCAAGCGTGCCTGGCCATTAATGTAAAGACATAAACTACCATGAAGACTATGGCAGAGTTTACTGGTCAAGTACAAAAAATGTGCAAGCACACTTGATCGTCTAGTGAGGCCTTAACAACTATTTGTATACCATTTAGGTAGACAGTAAAGTGTGGAATTTTATAACAAGCGTTTATTCTGACACATTCGCTAAACTAAATCTGTTTATCAACGTATGAAACCCATGATTTTGTAGGTCATATTAATGAAAATTTATTAAAAATTGTCATGGGTCATTGAAATGCGATATTTGACTATGAAGTTGCCTCAGCGTCGAAGTAGCTAATTTATTTATGTATTGTTGAAGTAAACATCTGCCTAACTTGAAGTCTGTGAAGACTTTTCAATAAACTACGATGTATAAATTGAGTCAAGTATAATATTAAAGCGTAACAACGACCTGATAAAGAAACTTAGATAAATACGCGACTTTACTTTTCAATCGGTTTAATATTCCCTATAAAAAAGCGTAAATGTTATGAATTGGTTGATGTGTCTTTGTTACGCGTGAAATAAATTTTTATGGGCCGTTTCAAATTCATATATGTTAATAATAATCCCCCTGTAAAGTTTTGTCTAGTAAAAATATTAAATTTGCACTTTTACAAAAATATATAAAATTTAATAAGGACCTACTCTTTATGTTGTTATATAGTTGAACTTTTCTACCGTCAAGTAATATAAAAATACTTTCCTATAAGATAAAGTTGTGTAAGGGGGGAGAAAGTCTTGTATGAACTTGAAATGGTATTGATTGATGTGTAGTCTTGAACCAAATGAAAGGTATGTAGGGAATCTCGTTCAATTCTATAAAAAATAAATTATAATTTCTTACTAACAACTCTAGTAAGTTTAGAGATGTTAGTAGCCAGTCGACTTAGAATTTTGAGATTACCGGAATTAGGTCCTATTTTGTTTGGATTAGCAAATGAGTTTCAATCGTTTTCAATTTGTAAATCGTTTTAATAAATTGTATATATATATATAATAATAATAATTAGCAAGTTCAAAGTATCGCAGTTTATATCAAGTTGTATACAGTCAAGTTTTATCTCCATTGTAATTAACATGTAATGTTTGCAGACATCTTATTAATATATAATTAATTATCTATTAATAAATTGTTTTGTATACTTTTGATAGTTTATTGCGAACCAAAGAAGTATCTTAATCAATGTTGCAACAATTTTTTTCCGCATAAGATTTGAACTGAATAATTCCAATTGAAATTTTGTTTTGTAAAGAATATTTATATTATTATTGAAATATACTAATACCTAATTATTGATAGTAAATGAATTCATTTAAAACAGGATTTTGACCTGTTTTCTATGCGTTATAATTTTTATAGTAAAAAAAAAGTTTCGCAAAACATAAATATCACATTTTTAGTAACTGTTTTGAAATGATATTGACTATTATTATTTATATTATATATCATTCGCAATATCAAATTTTTTAAAGAATGTTATGTAAAAAACTATATAAAAATTAACTGTTTACAAAGTTTTGCATACAAATACTATAAAAACTATAATGTTGTACAGTCTTAATTGAAACGATTGATGGCAAAATTAGAACATGAAATAAAACGTATAGATAGAGGACTTTATTGTCCACAAATTGAGTAAATGGCATAAATTATCGCTTCAGTGTTGCCATATCCACACAAAGACAAATGGGCAAATTATTGCAAATGTGCGGTTCATAGTATTTTCGATTGTTATCAATAGATATAATGTGTAATTGTCATTCACGGTTTTGTTCTCTGCCGTGTTAAGTAATTCCACTCTGAAAAACCAATCGCCGGAGTCAGATCTAATTATCGGATGTCAATTATTTTGCATACAGATTTACAATGTTGTCGGTGACTCGTAGAATCTGTAATCGAGTGTTGTGGTTTGTTTTTGTGGGCTGTATTTTATATTAAGTCGTAGCACACCGAAGTGTCCCAATATTTATTGTCTGTTAATTTTCAAAAATTGCATTTTAATATCTTTTTTTTTAAGAACTCTTGTAGCGTATTAAATTGTCATGCAATGAAATACAATTCAAAGTCAAAATAATTTCATTATATTATCGACTACTTCTGCAAATAGTAATGTTTTATCGTTGTTCCTATGAAATAGAAAGAAGGGCAGAAAAACTCTGTTTCTATTTTAAAAATATAATGAAGCATTCAAATAGTTCTAAAACGAAATATAATAAAAAAAAGTGTTTGAAAACTCGAAATGGACTTAAATTTATACATTTCTAGTTTCTAGCAAATTATTGAGTGATAAACATAAAACATTGCAACAAAATATTTTGTAAGAAATCATTCGGAAGTATAAAAAATTGTTTGTTTTTGAAAGTTAGCAGGTACTGCAGATATGTGCGACACTTAGGTATAAATGCATTTTATAAGTCGGATTACAACAAAAAGGGTCGTGGCAAATTAACGTAATTTATTTATAGCCAATGCGAAAGTTGGTTGGGTGCGGTTGGCAAAATTTATGTTTTGTGTTCCCGTCCTTAGCGAAATAGTTCATTCTCATCGAAATCACGATATCCTGACTCATGTTTGAACGTGGGACGCGGCATTTTACCTCATCGTGTGGCGTCCCCTTCTATGGTATCCATTCCAACACATAGCTCGAACAAATCTATGGATTTGTACACTAGTTCATTACATTATTATTCAGCTGTAGTTATAATATACTTAGTAGTCGTGTATCGCTTTGTCTCATTTATTAATGAAGCAATGAAATGTTATTTTTGTACGTCATTCGTTCACATGAATGTATATGATTTTGTTACATAAGTTTACTACCATACCATACCCTAGAGAATGTCGTGACTACATCATAAGTTTATGTGTGTTGTTGAGTCTATGTCGTGCGCGGTGCGTTGAATATTGCGAACAAGTGGAAACTATCTAATGCTAATATAGGTTGTGATGTATGTTGAATCTTTACTAGGTCGATTGCAAAAAAGCAATTTATTTTTAATTAATAGCAATAGAAAGTATGACAACACAACACAAATAATTGGTGTGTAAAATGTTTTTATTGCTCCTGAGCTTTTGATCGAGTAATTTATTGGAAATGTAACAATGTTGATAATAAAAGTGATTCCACTATATTTGAATCGCTACAGTAACCACAAGTGATTGATGAAATATGGCTCATTTTTCATAATTTGTAACTAATATTTATGATACAAGTAATATTCAACACACCGGTTGTATGCGTACTTTAGATTTTAACTTTATTTAGTCATTGTTTAATAAGTTCCGTTTGCGCGATATACATATGCCTACTATTACGATAATTATTTAAAGTCCCCCTTATTATAGCGATGCTAAATTTCCTATCTTTATTTATGCCTATATTATAATTATAGTTTTAATAAATGAGATAACAACTGGTAATTCCACGCAATAAGTAGAGATACAAGCGTCTCATTTCAATACTTATTTTGTGACGAACAATCGTTTTCCAGTATGAAAGTGAAGGGTTCGTTGATCATTATGACATATGTAAATGTTATGTATAACGTGCAATAATTTGTGTAGAAATTCAATACAAAAATGTGTTAATATGTGTTTCAATCGATGTAAGCCATCGAGTCCCGAGTGAACTGACTTCTAAATAGGTATTCCTACAAGACTGAATGTAACACTTCACCTTGTGTACAAACATTTATGGGCTCATGTCAGTTTGATGTCACTACTCACTTGTTTCACTTTTAGTGTAGTGATATATCAGAGCCGGCCCTGCGTCAGTTAGGCGCCTGATATTCATTCTTTGAATTATTAACACTATTAATAAAATAAACAAGTTACGTTTGGCTAACGGTAGGGCCGGCTTTGGGACTGAATTATCATTTTCTAAATGTAACATGTAACTGCTGCGATCATGGCCGTCGTCGGCGCAGTCATTCCAAAGTATTACGTCTGTTTACGTTTGTACGACGATATTTGTTTAGTCATTTGTTGCTCAGACGGCGGCCCTGGTGGTGGTGATCACGGTGCATTCTTGACTATTGGGGCTGATTTTTCTAATTTATTTTTAAGATTGGAGTCGGATTGCGAATAGACTGAGTTACAAATGCCACACGCCACTCTGCAAGACGTGTTATTTCAACGGCCACTTAGTTGTGGTTGAAACGTTGGTGTATAAATTGTACAGCTTAGGGAAACACATTTGTATATTTTTGCTTGGACTGGTGGCATGGATTCACAAGCGTGATTTGTGTATAATTAAGATTTTAGATGTCATTACAATCAGCGTGATGCTGTTCTAGTTATTATAGAATTGTAACCGATGTGCTGAGGGTTATATTGTTATGAATAATGAGGCGTTTTTCGCTGTTTATGAACGCATTATGGCGTCAGAATTGGACGACTGACGTAGCACCAAAGTTTATGCCTCGTTTTAAATTCGAAAATGTTAAGTACGTCATGTCTCGTTATATATTTAAAATAGTAATATAGCTAGAGCATTATGCTGATCGCATTGGCATATGATAAGCTATTTTGGATTAGTCACGGTTACGTAGTCAACACAGATGTGTCCCCAGCATTAGAAATTCATTTTGGCTAAGTATGAATGTGTTTTTAACATATATCATCTTGTTGTGTCGTTTACATATTTTTAGTGAAAAAAAAAAATAGATAATGCGAGTAATGTATGTGAAAGAAATAGTAAAGATTTTTTGATAAATTATTGTGAACTGTTTGAATTATGTATAATCCGCATTAAATGAATCGTTAATATTAATACAATCACAGCTGTAATAACCATGTAAGTCTATAAAACGTGAATAATAACTACCATAGTTGTACCTAATTGTTACTTTCTATTTGCTAGATAGAATAATCAAATTAGATTGAGTAATGAGAAATTGTGTGATCTGCAACCGCGGACGTTGTTCTCCGTGTGTGTTTATTATATATAACAAGTAAATTGTTGTCTAAAGTTATGTCTATACAAATCGTGTTGATCGGTCTGGCATGATCATTGTAAAAATGGATAAGTGTACCTATAGATCAAAACTATCAGATGGCATTCATATCAATCAGCATTGATTTGTAACAAGCATTGTAGATATGTCACTATTAACGTTATAATGCACCTATTGTTTTGTTTTTTCAACTTCAACTAGAAAGGATGTTATATCAACTGGGAAGGCTTCAGGTGTGTAGAATGTCAAGCGCGAAGCCTCCGAGCAGCGATGTCTGACACTCATGGGTGTATTGCCCTATAGTTAATTTAAATTATAATTTAAAATTTCACTTACTAAGTAAGTCATGTTCAGTCGGTGGGCTTGTGGACGCACGAGGAAGTTTTTCAATATATATAATTAACTTTATGTATCATACATACATGATGCTTTGAAAACTGAATTGAATTCTTATTGTAAGTATAAATATTAATATTCTTAGAAACAGTTCTCAGTGTTTATTTTTTTCTGTAAGAGTTGTAAAAATTTTGCATACGCAATTCGAGTTATATTCAGTTAAGGTCACAACCTGTCGGAAATCGAAAAAATTGTTAACTCATAATTACATAAATAAAGCTTACTATAAGATATTCGTTTTATTCTTTTTGACTTAGCCTATTTACCTATTGTTCTGGTACAAAAGATGAAATAGTTGTATTCGGATTTCAATGTACGCGAAATGCTATTGCATGTATCTATTTATTTTGGAAGTTCAAAATATTTGTAAGACAATTTTGCTAAGGCATGTTTTTTGCCAAAGGATTCAGTGGGGTTAATTAAAAAACCAATGTTTACTTATAAAGTGTATTCGAACTGATTGATATCTGTACCAGAGGTCAATTGTTCCGAACCTAACAAATGACAAATATAAATCTTTCTTTGTTGGAAGTGGAACTAATTTAAAATGTTCAATATATTATTTAATGAACTTAACAATTAATATATCAGCACTTACAAAATAATTGCACCGTAAGTCGTAACACGAAACTGCCTAAAATAATATTAACCTAAACTATCGTAACAAAGCATTGCAAAATAAACTTTTTTGATTATTATTATTATTATATATATTATTACTTTGATTGTTCCAAATAAATACTCAACAATACATGCAATCTCTGACGACTCATAATAATGTATCTGGAAATAATATCTAACCTAATTTAATATAAAAACATTCATCATCTATCTCACTAACAACACCAAAATAAAATCTATACATATTGCATTTATGTGCCAGTAGTAGATTTCCATGATGCATTTTATATAAATAAAATTGCATGAATAATTTTATGATTATATTAAAATTGTCATTTGTAAAGTAATAATAAAATAGTCATCTCAAAGGAATATATAACAATAAAAAATATAAAGAACTAAAAATTATAGAATCTATGCGAAACGGTTATTTAAAACTCATTTAATGTTCCTTCCACGACAAAACTTTTCACTTCAGTGATATTCCTCGTGTCGTAATCTGAGATCTCCTCGATGACGAGGTCTTCATTTTTAACAGGTATCGGGGGAAACGCGTCTAGTAGCTCCCCTAGTTTCCTTCCTGTCGAGATTAGGGTATTAGTTAAAAATGCATTGTTTTCCATTTTAAAATCGTCATCCTCGGTGCGCAGCTTTGAATCTAATTTGTGGAAGTTTTCATAGTTTTCCTCTTTGACAATGGGTGGCAAGTAATCCTTTCCATTATCGTAATCGAATTCCAGCTTTTTCATGCGTTTCTTTAAATTAGGCGGCCAGTCCTCGTCTATTGGCAAGTCAACGTAACCTACAGGTAGTGCCTTATGTGTATCCAAATTCTTGATAACTTGATAATCGTGATCCGAGTGTGGTCGGTTGAACGTAATAAGTTCCTCCATATTGAATTCCCCGTCGTCAATGACGGTCTCATCGAGCGCCAGTTCTGTAAACACATTGTCTTATTAGCATAAATTTGCCACAAATACATTCGTGTTGAAAACGGTTGAAAAATTCCTGCTAAAGTTAGTAATAAAAATGTTTTCAGCAATTTCAAACTAAACAAATATAGACAATTAAATAAGTTGAGACTAAGACAAAATCCATGTTAAACTTAACCGACAGAATTCAAAGAATGAAATGAATTAAGAAACTGGAGCATGACATCACACAACTAATTTTGAATAGTCTAAAACTTGATAATGTTACATAAGAGAAAGTCGATTGTGCAGTCAAGCTCATCAACTATGGAGCAATAGTTGTATAATTGCAAATGGTAATAAAATGTCAACTAGTTTCTAGCTCCGGTCTGGTGCAAGATTAATTTTATTGATAATTCTAATACAATAGGCAACATTTAGTGTTGTTTTTAAAATTAAGACTACATATACTAAGTCGTTTTCAAAAAATAAATAAATATTTATGAAACTACAAGATATTGTAGAAAGTTATTTTTATTTATACATACATACTATAAATAAATTAAGTACCAATATAAAGTAACTAAGTTTCCGAAATTTTCCAATATTCTATAGAAGCTTCTACGGAGTATCAGGAGACAAAAATATTAATATATGTATGTATTGTTATACTATGATGGTGGCAAACAAGCTTACGGCCCATATGATTGTATGTATGGTAAATAGGAAGTATTTAATAGTGAACTTACTGTTGGTCGCTGAGAGCAGTGCTCGTGTGATTGCGGGTGAGGTGGGCACCTGTTCGTTCCGTGGCCGTATCTCATCTCGCATGGACGGTAACGCCACCAGCGCTACTGACAGTAGTAACACCAGCAGACACGTGGCCGGCTGCGCGGATTTGCCACTTGTGCCGCCGGTTACGCCCGTTAACACGCTCTACAGAAACAAATAAAAATCATCAAAACATCATAATCTTATTATTATAAAGTTTATGAGTATGGATGGATGTTTGTTACTCTTTCACGCAAAAACTACTGAACGGATCTTGACGAAATTTTGTAGTAAAATAGTTTATACATCAGAATAACAATTTTAAAAAATTGTAAGTAAATTGGTCAAATAAATGATAAATGTAAAGTAAGTGTCATGCAGAGGAAATTGCGCGAGTCAACTGGTCAATGCCACTCAGACGACTTCCTACAAAATGTACCTTTAGTAAAAACACAAATTCGACACATTCATATGACCACCAGAGAAATTTCGATTAATCGTAAACACCTTGAAAAGTAAGTAACTGTTGAAGTAACCATTTATGTCGATGCATAAGTTCACGACATTTCATTATAGTCGTCATGCAACCATGAATACTGAATAATTCTGAAAACCTGTTTCAAAAGACCTTAATATTGTGCAATGTGCAGTAGATACATATAGTTATGTAGGTAGGTATCATCCATTTATCGATATTTTATTATACTCAAAAAAAAATGTTCGAAAGCAAATCCACAGACGGCGAGCACAATTATAAAAGAGGTTTTCCCTACAAGATATAAGGTCCATAAGGAAATATCTGTTAAGAGAAATACTTGTTTATTTATTCGTAAATGCAACGATTTCCTTAACATGGTATACCTATATGCAATTCAATTATATTACATATAGTTTTTGAGTAGTCCCGTAATTATAATAAATAATATTAATAAGCATACTTACCTGTAAAATTATAAATGAAGCACACAAATATTGTAGCCCATATGGCAATGGAATAAGAATCCATACAAACTACCTATACAAACAAGCAGACGGCCCACCTGATAATATGTGGTAACTATCACCTATGTACAAGCATCAGGAACCTTACTTTATAATGTCACACCCGTTATAAGACTCATACATTGCCATTCCAGAGAACTAAGTTGTCATGCCTCTTACCCAGTAATTTCACTGCCTAATCTGTCACTAAACCGAAATACAGGTTACAAGGAAGCTGTTTGGCGGCTGAAATAGGCGTAACTGAGGTACTCAGACGACTTTTTATATACTACCTCTGTTAGAGTAGCATAAATAAAAAGTCGTTGATTAGAAATCTTACCTGTAACCGCTTGAGCTGTGCTGACAAAGACTGGTTTTGTGATTGCAGCATTTTTATTCTTCTTATTAGTGTCTGATTTTCCGCTGTACATTGTTTGACTCTGCGATACAATGATTCATCATGTTAAATTGGTACACTTTGCCGCATCATCTCAAAAAACATTAATATTTTTCATATTACAAACCCGAACAAAATAAAATTTCTATGAACATAGATTATAATTTTTAATCCATAACGTAAATAGGTAGTTGTATAACTAATATAGCCTTTCTTACTCATTGATAGTGTAATCTATAGAACCACGAATTATTTTTAATCGGTCAAGTTTAAACCTTTACAACAATCATACAAAAAGAGGTTGCTATTTATTAGTTCCAAAAACATCAAACGGTAAATTATTTTTGCAATGAGACTACTTTTTCCTGTTTCAAGCAATTTTCTTAATTTGAAAGACAGATAATGCTGTTATAGTAAGTCTATTCTAAGTAGAAAATTTTAGAGTCTATGACTACATTTTTTCAAAGGAAATATTGAATGGTTTTTGAGTATGTTTTTGTTTGTCAATTTGTTTATTTATCGTTCATTTGATAGCGATTCTTGCAAATAATATTGTGATAAAAATTTCGCTACATCTAACCATGAGTCAACATTCAAAGATTAAAAAATTAATAATCCAAAATGAAATTATGATATTGTGTTCTAAATTGTACCTATTCATTGCTTAATTAATAAATATAATTTTATTTAATACTAGTCATTAGGTAGGTGATTGCAAAACAAAAATATGCTTAATTGTGAAATACACTGATATATTACACCCTTCATATTGTTCAGCTTACAAAGCATGTTGTGGTAGAATTAGGTTAGAAAGATGTTCGTACGCGTCTAGTATGTATAAATACAAAAGATTGTTTTTTTATTTATCTAACACATAGATATTTCTCTTTATCTTATCTTTTTAGATGGAGACATATTTTCATAGCTTATCAACATATACTTCCAACTCCTATAAGCCATCAACTCTTAAAATAAAAAAATAAAAGTGAAAGCATTGTGTGAATTCGATGAAATAGTTTACGTGATTTACAGTTAGATAATGTAAATGTGCAGGTATTCGACCGATATGACGTAAGGCTACGTGGCGGGATATACAGGTGACTCATGGACGCTGCTATTCTGACATTGATGATACACACATTAGCCGGGTTTGTTGTGAAATTTTTGTACACGTGGCATTGCTGACGTGGAGCTTTATTCGTTGAAGCTTTTGTATCGATACAAAATAAAGAAACCTAAGTATCATTATAAATTTACTTCTTTTCGATCCACCTATTATACACACATTAGCCGGGTTTGTTGAGAAACTTCTGTACACGTGGCATTGCCGACGTGGAGCTTTATTCGTTGCAGCTTTTGCATCGATAATCAAAATAAAAAACCTATGTTTCATATAAAAACTCTACGAATATATTATATACATATTACAAAAGCCAGTTGAACTCTATTTATATTTTTTCTTTATAATTGAGAAAAGATCTAGAACGTTCCCGTGCATAATAGTTGAATTAGAAAAAGAGAGTTTTTAGATGTCTGGCCCTGTTTATGGATTAAAGACGTTACAGTAACATGAATCTGTAATGTAATGCACCAATATTCTCTCTGAGTCAATAATTACCAATTATAGACTCAGAGAAAAGATTGGTGCTTATAACCTAACTGTCTAAGTCTAACTTTATACCAAAAGGATTATTATTTTCCAAGAAGAATTTGAAGTGTTCCTATTTTTAAGAAGGGATATGACAATGAAATTGCAATAAATTACAGGATATGAAGGCATACAATTTTAGTAGCACTGTATGTTCATGGTGCAGTTCATATACGCGAGTGTTGCTACTGTGCCTACATTACTGTGCCGTTAGGTAGTTCGCTATTCCAGTTACACAATATATTAATATATTTACTGTTCATATCAAATAACTACCGAATGTAAGTTTTACCATCAGTTTTATAATGAAATAGTTCTATATATTAGAATAGTAGTTATAACAGATCAAAACATTAATACACATTTTAGTTTTCATTGTATTTACAGACCACAGACATCTGCCCGTCTGATAGTAAGTAGGTCTAGAGCGAGCTTTATCACCTTACTACAAGAATAGAACGCTGCAAAATGTTGCGTTATTTGGCAGTAGATAGCAGTCTGCTCTTATTCGTGATAACTATTATACTTCACCTAAAGTATAAGATGACTGTAGATTATACTTTCATTTTAGATTTCTATCTATGCCGTCAACATTTCGTTGGTATTTAATAAACCTACTTTATTATTTTATCACTACTTTAGGATGTAATTTTGTTCGCGTGTACAATCTGGTTAAATCGCTTCCTTTATATGCGTTGAAAACAGATGGTTTAAAAAACATAACAATTAGCTGTTCACAGCAACTTTGTCCACGTCCGGAATTTAACTTTCATTTTCTAAAATAAAAGTAGCCTAAATGACTCCTTATTACATCAGATACCTGCCAATAAAAGTCTCGTCAAAATCGATCCAGCCCTTTCAGAGTAGTCAGAACAAAAAGACAGACAGACAAACAAACATACAAAAATAGTAAAAAATGTTATTTCAATATTACAAACAGACACCCCAGTTTTATTTATATGCATAGATATGTATGGATGACATCATATTTATACATATAGTCAATATGGACGATATATGAAAAAAAAATATATAACGTTTTAACGAGAGCTGTGGGCACAGCACAGCAAAACCATGAAAAACAAAACAATATTGAAACGCATTTGAAAAAATACAGCTGGCGCGCGCCTACCGCCTCTTCACTCCCGGTCGCTGCGACAGACGACGGACATTCGAAAGGTTTATCAACGCAGTAGAACAAAATACAATTATAGTTAGAATTTTTGGTTTGTGTGTCTGTGCCGCCAATTTTAGAAACAACTTTATTTGATTTCTGTTTTGATAAAAAATAGTGATTCTTTTATTCAATAAACAAAAAACTTACGACAATAAACAAAATATTGTTACTGTGAATACTACGGGTTAGAAATCTCGGGCTCAACTAGTAAAATATATAGGTTATTAAAAGTATTTCGATATATTTAAATAAAGTTTAAAAAAGTAATTAGATAACCTCGAAAACGTGATCCGTAGCCTCATTAACCTCTTGTCACTATGATTGATATGACGGGTTAAGCTTTCTATACTCTAAATGTTGACCCATATTCAGCTTAATACAATGTAAAAGTTTCATCATAATCAGTCATGCAGTTTTTATGTGAAGCACTAAGATAAACAGACAAACCGAAACACACAAGCCGAGAAAAATTGGCTTCGTAACGATAGTATCACGTAGAAAGATAAGAAACTACTTGTAAGAATTATTTACTTTGGAGACATTTTAGTCACATACTTAATTATGTAATTTGTATAAACTGCTACACGAATAAACTGATAGTTCTTTGTATTGTGTGAACGCATGAGAAAGAACGAATTGCCGAACGTTGCTCTCTCGTTCTCTCGTGCGTAAGATTGCAGGTGATAGACGACGATAAATAAAATATAAAGTATATAAGATTAAAATTAAACATGCTTACCTATCTTCAAGCCCGTCAACATATTCCTTCTTGCGTTTCCTAGAGTCCTGGGCGGAAATTTTGTTTCTGATCTTGCGTCGGATTCGTTTCAATTCCCTTTCTTCGTGTTTCGTCAACGGGTAACTACTAGGCAAGGTGATGCCCTCCTTTGCTAACAAACGCCTCTCTTCGGCTGTTAAAACGAGGCGAGGATAACCGTTCCTACCGTCACCCATTTGACTTTGTTCCGGTTCGTCATCATCACTGCGATCACTTCCGGAATCATCTAAAAATAAAATATGAGTCAGATTTCCTTTTTCAAAACAATTACAGCTATATGGAGAACAGAATAAAACACTATTCCTGTAGGCATACGCCGATTTTAAAAAATATAGGACCTATTAGTAAAAGTAGACCATTTTGCTATTGTTAGATTACAGTCCAAGTAGTGAGAATAGTATAGGTACATATGTATATCATATAATCTGTACAAATGTTCTTATCATAAAAACGAGATAAGCATATTGCAGTAAACAACTGCTGTAATTTATATGTATTAGAACGTACATAGAATACTTTACTTGATTTACGTAATCAAGAGACGATGAAACTCTTCTCATTTGCACTATAACGTGATAATATTAAAACAAATTTCGTATTATGTCTAAATAAACTATTATCTATAATAAATAGTATAAATTATCGCTGTTTTCGTCTGTCTACTTGCTGTTCTTACTTGTTATAAACTCATATTGATCTGGTTTTCACTATAATTAAGAAATTTGGAAAGTGTTCATGTATAATACATGTATGTTATAGTTATATATTTCTTGTAATGACTATATGCTTATTATTTTTTGGTATTATTTAATTAAGTACCGCATTAGTGATTTACTGCTTGCTTTCGAGTATTAAGTCTAATAATACTATGATTTTATTTGGTTAATAAAGTAAATTAAATAAATATAATATATACGACTTGAAATACGCTGTCCACACGTGCAAAACCGAGGTGGTGGTGTGGCATATATAGCGATGCCAAAATAATGTCATAAATTGCTATAACTGTCCGTGTTTGATAACCGGATTTGTTACAAAATACTTCAAATGGAATTGATATCGTTACGTGCTATGCAGCAGATAAACAAGTTAGAACAATAATCTACAAACGAAATGTGAATAAAACCTCTTTTTATGAATATTTAAAAATAAAAATATCTACTGGAGAACTAAATTTAATATATCAATTGATGTAATTAATAAGTTAATAAGACGGGAATACTAATTTAATGAAATATCGAATATATATAAAAAAATTTGGTCAGCCGTAAATTTTTATTATATGGAACTATTCTGTTGATTTATATTTAATTGTCTTATTTAAAATGTGTTTCTTTTCGCGTTATTTTCTTATCAATGATTTTTTTGTAAAAAAAACCCCTAACAGATATTCACTGCATTATGAATGGATGTATGAAATTATCCATTTCTTTATAAATACATTTGTATTGACAAATATATTAATAAACTATTACTTTGTTTAGGCTATACACTAAAGATCACATTCATATAAGCTCGAAAATCATTATCCTCCTTTTTTGGCAATCGGATACTACTCTTTCTATACGAACGATAATGATATTAATAACGGAAGTCGAGTAGTTGCTGACCGACACAAAATCCTAATAGTAAATTTTATTCATTTCGTACACAGTGTTTGTTATTACAATAGACAATAGACTTTAATAGTCTTATTATAACCCAAAATCATCAATTTACGAGTACATTGACCGAATATCTATTTAACAAAACGTAGACGCTTCTAAATTCGTACAATTGCCTTCAATAATATAAATTAAACAGATTGAATCTCAACTACGTAGAGCTGAAAGTGAACGGTACCCACCACAATGGCTGACGTTGTGCCTATACTCGTATTCATTGCGGGACTCCACTTTAAGATCTTGCAGTTTACTTTGCGACAACAAATTAGCTGCCGCCAGTTTAATGTTTGAGGCATTCTTTAAATCTGCAGCGTTGATGATTTTAATCGACTTCAGGTCTTTCATATCTTTAATTGTAACGGGGAGGAGTATGGACCGAGGATTCCCTGCCATCGGAGCTACCCTTATAACTCTCCGTTGTGGTGCCACAGTTTCTACTGGTTTAGAGTACACCTTAGTTTGTGGATTAAGCACTTGAATGTTGGCAACTTTCAAAGGCTTCTGGGGCTGCGCCTTAACAACTAGTTGAGGCTTCTGCGGCGCCGCAGACACCTTTATTGGAGGCCTTTGTACTTTGGATTGTACTACCACCTGTGGTTGAGACAGCCGGCGTTTCCTACCGGGTTTACCTAAAAATAGTTTGTTATACAATTTTCGATTCAATCATTTGTAGCTTAATAACTAGTTTTAATTCATTCATGTATTAATTCGAGACACGGCGGATGTTTGGCCCTAGCAACTAAAATCATGCTCGGCGAAATGTCAAGTGTGTTCATCTGGGACAACCTACAAAGTGTCTCACTATAGCAAGAATGATTAACGTCGTGATCAAAGAATCATATTAACAAGTTTTAAATTTACATTAATTAAACTTTGTGAGTATGCTAGACTTGAGTTGGTTTGGAGGTATATACTAAAATGGGCTCTTATAAGTCATGACACACATTGCGTAATATACATACCGCGTATATATCTACAATACATATAGTTGAATACATTTCGTATTTTACATGCAAATTATTAGTATGTATTGCTTAACAACTCCTATGGGAAGAGTAGGCTCAATGTCATTATTAATTCAGTACCAACTGTCCTTCTAAACTTGTTTACGTATTATATGAAATGTATAATATTAACATAACTACCATTTGTGCTAACATTACTCGAACATATTAATATTATACCTACAAGATATATTCCAACAATTTATATTTGTTTGAATTATGTACTCAAGTGAGAATGATAATGATTCACTTTTAAGTCAAACATGCCGAAGGTCACTCATTACTATACTACATTTAAAAGTATTGAAATATCAGCAACTATAACACTGATAATGGCGATAATAATATAAATAATTCACCTAGATACAATACCACATTTTTTATTAATATGAAACGTATTGATAACCTTAAAAACGATTAACAAATTTTGTTACATATGATTTTTATGCGACTGAAATGTCAGACACGCAGCAGTGTGGTTGACGGTATTCATTGCCTACATGCATGAATAGGTCCACAGACCGTAACATATGCAGTACAAGTTACTGGAGATGGAGCACGCAATTACGCACTTTGTACAATGTCTGGCCTGAATTTCCATGTAAGATAAAAAATTGATTGTCCGAAATTATATATATTACATTATGTAATTGAAATGGAAAACAGGCTGACGGCTCACCTGATGGCAAGAGGTATAGCTAGTCGCCAATATACAACATTAAAAGATATCCACAATATTATATGCACGTGATACGGCTCATGCATTGGCATTCTTAGTACTAAGATGTCATGCCTCTTATTCTGTAATTTCACTGGTCTTTAACCGAAAAAGTTTATAAGACTGGCAGCGTGGCTGCTGAAATAAATGAGTTTGAGATATCCAACCATTTTAAGATTTTTACAAAGTCTGTTTCGGTATTAATTCTTCAACTTCATAAAATACAAAATTACAGAAAATTCATAGTTTAATAAAAAAGAGAGACAAATTAAGTAAGATAAAATTAGAATAAGACATAATCGTCAACTTTAGTTGTATACAATGGTAATTCTGAAAGCGTAGGAACCTAAACAAATTTTTCTTCTAACAACAATCCTTCATGCTGTCGGCTTCATATAATAATAACTCTGCATTTGATATTTATAGTTGCGTGAGTATGTCATCCTTATGCTATAAATATAAAACTATTAACTTACCAGCGCTTTGGAATGTATTACTATTGCTGTTAATAAATCCAGGTACTACATTTTGCTCGAAGTCCAACATGTCAAATGTCTCTTCAACAAGCTCGGTGGAGCTGTTTGAGGTATCACACGTATCTTGGATGACCACATCTTGAGCATCGCCCGGGCTGGTAGGCTCCAGGCCCGCAGTGGCGTTCATGTCTTCATCACACGAGTTTTGTATGAGGAATGGTGATAACTGTTGCTCGAAATCACTACAAATAATCATTTCAATAATTAAATATATTTTCAAGACTGAAATTCGAATTGGTGCAGCCAGAAGTAATGTTAACTGTTGATGTTGTGAACGCAACAATCGACATGCTTTCACAATCATTTCGCTCATTGCGTCTACCGCCTTTCGGTTTAATTTAGATTGTTCATAGTTTTCCATCACAAGAATATTATAATATTAGATATATTAACAAAACCTTTGGTAGTAAAGTTTTTACCTTAATTTACGGTTTGTAGTATTTTGTAATGCATTTCATTATTTATCATGATAACATAGTGGTAGTAGACACATTGGAACTCACTACCTTTCCAGTTTTCGTAAATCTGCCACATCACCATTTTATAAAATAATCTGTTCCTAAAATGGCAATAAATCTTAAGCGTATAATATAACTACACTCCTGCACATAAAACATATTACTTTTCTGTGACTTTACTATAATTTATTGATGTATTTAATTGGTTTTAACAATAGGTCCTTCATGCTAGACGATAAGAATGATAGCGAATTGTAATAACCTGTTTATTTCTCGCGATAAGACCAATGCCACTTATACAACATCTAATTGAACCAACGTAATCAGTAGAAATAGTTTGCACAGAATATTATCAAGTATCCTCGATTACTTAAATTGTATTAATATTATTAGTTACTATATAGATCCCTAAATAACCAAGTACTTACTACAAAGTATGTTTGAATTATTAGAGAGCCGATTATTGATATACATATGTATCTCTAGATTTCTACATACATGTTTATAATTTGAGAGCATCGTGACCTGATAATTAGGTACACGATTTCGAGCCGAATTAGAACGTCTTTAAAAATCTGTCTAAATCATATTTAATAGTTATGTGAAGTCTTGCGTTCACCGATAGTTGACAACACTTCTGTCTACACTATTTGGTTAAATAGTCGTGACAGTATATTATTATTACAAACAGTTTTTACATGCATGATTGTCAATATATTATTACCAGGTTTTTAGGAAGGATATATCTATATAATAAGATTTCTTAAAGGTCGGCAACGCGCACGTGACACCCCTGGTGTTTCAGGCGTCCAAAGTTGGGAAACAATTTACCATCAGATGGGCTGTAGGCTTATTTGCCACCTACTAATACATACTATAAATAAGAGAAGCAAAACCAATACTAATTTACCCTAAACGAATGTATTGTTTTTAGGTACCTACTGTAAATCGAAGTGCAAACTATAGTCCGTTGCCTACTTATAATTTCATTTAAATTTATTAAGCACGCACTATTATCTGAAGCGTAGATATAGCGTTGTGCATGACGGTGAACTCACTGCGCATTAGATATTAAAGTCTGTACTATTCGTAGTTAATTTGTAGAAAATCATAGTTCATGATAACATATGAAGAATTTTCTGTGGATACTTTATTTACTACGCTTTAGTTCATTGTAGGGTCCCCTACATTGGTTTATCTCACGTCAGTCTAATAATACAAAATTGAACAACAAAAACTTTGTTATAAGATCCTTTCACACGACAAAATTTTTTATTCTATCCTAATGTGGCCTTTATAGCTTCACTGGATGAAAATAGGGGCGAGTACAAAGAGCAGTCAAAACCCGCAGGACTTGTGGACCGGCTGAAGCATCATAATGTCGAATCCCGTTAGAATAGGACAGGAGGCCGGTGCGGGATGAATCAATAGGTATAACAATTAAATAATTCTCAACTAGAACAAGTGTTACCCCAAGTGAGGACATTTATTCTATTACGTACAGATTACGAATCCACGTACATAAACGATCTAATGATACCTATTTGCTTCAAAATCGGTTACACTGCGTTGCCAATTGTATTGTCGACTAGAATATTTAGTAACGCAATCACGGCATCGGAACATAGCACGTCGACTAACTAAGATACTTAAGATGCATGACAATTGCATCATATCAATGTGAGTCACGGATAGGAACCAGTTACAATGACCGCTGACGTATCTGGGGTAACCACTGATTTCGTCATTAATATAACCATTATGGGTGTAAATCGGATGGAGGTGGACCGTTACTATTAATAATAACCTAGGACATTTCACATCATCTAGTCCCAAGCTAAGCAGAGCTTGTTGAGGGTACTGGACAACTGATATAATAATTTACATATTTTCTCTTTGCTAAAAGTATACACACAATATACCAATACAAACAATCATATTTGCATCCTGCGAGGAGTCGAACCCGCGGCCATTAATAGTATAGCGTTGTACAAAACCGCCGAATACATCAAAACATAGTACACGAATAAAATAAATATTCGGCCTGTCTCAATACCGTAACTACATTAAGGTTTCTTACTAAATAATATAATAGTACAAAGAAACAAAGTAACAGAATTGTAAACATCTATTAATATTATATGTGTATAGGAAACAGTTATAACTTCAAAATGATTCAACGCCATAGGCTATAAGAAAAATAAGCGTAAACAAATTCTTGTGAGTGTAACGAACTTAGATTTTTTGCTACCTATCTATATATGTACTTATAAGAACATAAACCATATATAATAGTATCTAATGTATTTACTCAAATGAATAGGGATTATTTTTTAGATAATATATAACAATTGTTAACAAATTTACAGCCCACGTACTTTATTTAAGTAACAACCGTCGACGTAACCGATTTTCCACAAAGTAGAAAACTTTGAATCACATGATTTTCTGTGTTACTACAGATTAGGTAGTTAAATATTATTAGTAATCTGTCTTTTAATAGAAGAGGCTTCGTAACGAATTCCTATCCAGTAAATATACGAGAAGTAGAGGCCTAAATTTATATGCCTGTTTTACAGAAAATACGCGAGGTAATCAAAGCGAACTCAATGTCAGACAATTCAGCATAACCATGTACTAAAGTTGCTAATACTTGCCACTAATACAAGAAAATGAAAGTGATTGTAATGATTAAGGATTTGAAACGGTGGTAGACTCGCCCCCTGCTACATTGAATTCAAATGTAGCGAAGTGTGAGCATTTCAATATTTGCGTTCACTATAATATCAACAGTTGACAATGCTAATGACTAATAACCCTATGTTAAGCCATGTACCATAAATTTATTGTGACTTTGCCACGATGGACTAACTGACCTGATGCCTATCTTATCATCCTCCACTGGTCCCTCGCCAGCGTATACCGCTATTCGCGGTGCACGATTCCATTATCAACTTTCTTATAGAACAAATGCTTATGACCTCATCTGAGATTAGTTGTGAAGGCATAATCATCATTATCGTTGCCTTGCTTTTATCCCATTATTTGAGGTCGTCGCATATCATTCTCTTCCACTGTTCTCTATTGGCCGTAATATCTGAGTATACTCTTCTTTTATTCATATCATCTTTCACAAAATACATCTATCATTTTTTAGGGCGTCCCCTCCCTTTCCATCCATCTAAGTTGGTGAAGACATAGTATTTTAATGAATAAATTAAAAAAAAAACTCACAATTCGGCCTGATCACTGGACAGTCCACTGTCTGAACAGGAGCTGCTCAGTGCTTCTGAAGGCTGCGACTGCGACACGTTGTCTGATACATTATCAGGCACATTGTCCGGACATAGGCTAAAATCAGGCATAGACTCCTCGAGGAAGTTCAACGAGCCCTGTTCCAAGGAAAATATATTTTCCAGGAAGTCGTCAGAGCTCGGCCATGTGTCCGACTGCAAAGAAAGAATTTTGTAAATAAAACGTACGTTAATGTAATACGGGCGAGTAGTTAGTATTAAATATATACCGTCTGTAAATCTATTTAATATATAACCGAGTAATTTAAAGGGTGTGCTTTATAAAAAAATTTAAAACGAAGCTTAAAACTTATTTATTGAAAAAAATATTCTACTGCATTGATGAGTTTTTTAATGTAGCTCACTTTAGATATTACTATTAATTTATGAATATTTGGACATTGTTTAAATTTCAGACTAAGGTAATAATTTTGTAATTTAAATCTGTTTAGAATAATAACGACTTTCCTTTGCAAACCTAATTAATTTAATTTTTATATGTAATTGAGATGGCAAACAAGCTGATGGTATATGATACCCGTCGCCGATATACCTACGCGAAACAACAATATATTAGTGGAAACCGCCCTCAAATCGGTTAAGCAGTTTCCAAGATTAGCGCGCACAAATGCATACACTATCAGATAAAAATTCTAAAAAACATTGTTTTGGGTTCTACTAGGTTGATAGTATTGGTTATGGTTCTTATACATGTTTATACTTTGTACCCACACCGACATCACATTTTTATTATATACGTAATTTCTATGAAATAATTTGTATTTTACATACATTCATATAATCAAGTACTAATTAGGTTTCGAAGAAAAGGCTAATTACATAATGATAATTTACATTCAAATAAATATGATTATGGTAATTTACACTAATTTAAAGCCCATTTACGTAGTGACAACTATAACTGTACACTATAATATGATAAGTGAAATACACTTTAAAACTTGTCATTACATGACAAGTTTTAAAGTGTAATTTCACAGACAATAATTTAAATATTAGTATTCCATGGCATTACACTTTTGTCCTCAGACATGGCTACTTATGTGTTTTTTATAGATGCTGGAAAGATACACCTGCTTGCGATAAACATAAAGTCAGGTCAGTTGCCCATCTTGGCAAATGGAAATTTACTACGATGGTTTCCTTGATGGTTATGATGGAAGTACGTACGAAGTACATACGTAAAGGTCATCCTGACATGATACATTGCTAGCAATAAGGCTATTATTACAAGTCGACATTACTAACAATCTTCTTCCCTCCGCTATACGTTAGTTGTACCATTGGCGGTATGAATCTGGTGGAAGTGATATCCATGGTGTTTTATGTATAAAGGCAACATTTACAGTAATGACTTCATTGATAACAATGTACTGTCACGTGATTACCCCTGGAAGCCCTCATGGTAAATTCCTGGTGAATTCGCCATGATAGGCGAACTAACATGAACTCATGCTTATCTGATCTTCCTTTATTGGAATCCCGCTAGTGTATACCGTTAGTGCAGGCGTAGACAATTTTCTACATCATCTATTTAAAAAAATTGCCACTTTCCATGAAATGGGATCCCTTCCAGTGAGGTACACAAAAGAAATTGTTCTTTTTATATTGTGCTACAATAAATAAATAATTACATTCTTAATATAACAACTTAAAGACCTTGATTTCATAATACTCATGTTATCATCAATTTGACTTTGTGATAAGTATAAATGCTTTGTATTAAAAGTTTATATTAAAATATATCAGATACCTATGGGAGGTAATACACAAACCCTACAAAACAAGATTACAAAATATAGTCTTGAAAATTGAACTTGAAAGAAATATATGTAAGTAAGTAGTTACTTTCTACAGGTAGTAATTTAATAATATGATTACATATACTTTTAGAAATATAGAGATATACTTATGGAATAGTAAACAAAAATAAATATACTGTAAATGACTGGAAACATGATGATGATGATGATGATATGACTGGAATTGGAAACATGCTATTGAGATTTAAGAAACATGTGGTTAAAAGCAATAAACATTACTCATAAATATAACTATGACCTAGACACATACAACATAGACATACACATAAAATACACTGTGACTCCTGAGAATGTAATTCCTGAGAACTAACTTGTTATGCCATCATATGCAGTAACTTCATTTCCTCATGACACAAATAAAACTTATTTGGCGACGGAAATATAGGAGGCAGACTTTGTGTAAAATCTCCTACTAGTAGATAACATAAATGATATTTAACATATATTAAAGACAATTATATTAATTATAATTAGGAAGCTCTAATTAGTTGCTAATTTTTAGAAATCATGTTATTAAAAACTGACATAATGCTTACCAAATGAGGTAACAAATTTATTAGTGAGCAGTAAATATTTCATATATTACAATTAGCTGATTCATTGTAATATAATGACAACTTTGGAATTAGGTTCTTAAAAATAATAGTGGTAATGATATTACAATTCATTATGTATGTAGTAACAATTAATTAATGGATGAATTTTGATATATTATTATTCAAATGAAATATAATATATGCAACTTTAATGTGGAAAGAATGTATTTTATTCAATGTTTTTTTAAGATAAACAGATGAAAGTAGCTTCACTAGGTTTAGCACTACAGTGATCAGTAGTGGTACTTTCATAATGACTGAAAAGTTGGGCATGGTTTACATTTCCACATGCAATACTTAATATTTTAATGATCTTTCTGGTAAAGCAGTTTGACACAATGGTCCATATTCCTAATATCTGAGGTACATTCCTAAACAGAAGAAACATTTGTATGTGTCTTTATATTGCCACATATTTTATTTATTATTGTTGTATGGATTCAATCAATGTATAATGTCTTGTCTACAGCCAAAATTTGATTAGTTGAATATCTATAAAATATCAGAGATTATCCTCCATTATAGATAATTGAAATATTATTTTCAACTACACTGTAGATCATTATTTATTAACATGTCGAAAACTTGAAACTTTCTGTGTGTAATAGATTATATTAAGTAAATTGTCTACTGTATTGAACAGTAGCTGCCTGTATTAGCTTCACATACCTTGGGTTACATTATTGAAGTTTTAGTAGGGATCCTAATTTTTGTATAAATTTAACCTATGTTACTCAGGTCTGGTACTGTATAATATAGCATTCTGATGTTATACAGTACTGAAATGTTGAAAGAATATCATTAAAAGGATCCAGATGTTATTGCAATTATTCCTTACAAACAAACAAAAATAAAAAATAATTCCATCCTTACTCTTTGTAATATTAGTGAAGATTAATAAAGGGAACATGAGCAGAGCATGAATGAACTTATGCCGAATAGACAATGGCATGTTAATGATGCAATGAAATAAAATTAATGCTAAATATGCACAATTACACTCAATGTAAATTGTTACTTAACCTTAATTGAAAATTTTGCATTGTCCATAAAATAAATACATTGAAATTAAACAAATATGTGTATGTCTTAAAACAGTATTGCAATATAAATACAGTAGTTATTTGTATAATACTACATAAAATCTTAAGACTACTAAAGGAACAAAAATAAATATATGTCTTAAGCAACTTTGGTTATAACTTGAAAAATATATTTTCAGTCTCCAAAACTTTTACTTCAAATAATATAAAGGATTAATTATTTTCAATTAAAACATATTAGAATTGTGTTAAAGAGGACAACAATTTGATAATTTTATGTTAAAATATTCTTTTTATTCTTCTGTTATCACAATTATGTACTACATAAATATGTGCTAAATAATCTACATATAAATAGGACAGCAATGTATTATCACGAGCCTTGCACAATAATATGATATAAAAAAAATTTAGAGCAGTCTCAAAATTTACATCATCTATACATCATCCATGCAAGTAATATAGTAGTAAAAATAAAAATAATACTTTACCTCCAATAAAGACAAAAGATCCACTCTTTTATCCATTTTAGACACTTTCAAGTTGCATCTATTTTATATTAACATTTAGACACTAGTAATTCACAACAGTAAATTGGTAACACTTTCAAATATTCACTTGATTGTTCAGAATAGTATTTTTGAATGATTTTAGTGTATACCGGTGAGATATCAGATGGCATATGGTAGTGCCGACCGCATGGTGCCTAGGTGGCAGTCTATTGACGTAACTTGTTTACTAAGCCGGGCTCGCGGCACGCCGGGTTAGCAAATACTGACAATGTCGACAAATAAATAACAATGCTCGTTAGGGTAAATCCTCGTTACAATTGGTAATTCACAAATTGGATTATTAATGACTCAGGAATGAGACGCCGTGTATTGACGAGCGACAAACAACCGAACACTAAGCGAAATGAATGTATAACGGTAAAAGTAGGAGCGTAAGCACGAAAGCTGTTGGACAAGATTCGCGGTCGACGATCACTTCACTTATTACTTCACCATGCGTCTCCAAAAACGCTCGCTACTCAGACCGAAAGTACGCTGCAATGTCATTGAGGTGATACCTTATCAATAAACAAATTAAAGAACCGAGATGCGACTCATACTAACCATTAAGGCGTCTTGTTGAAAGCCGTCCATTTTAGGGTTTATTCCGTCTAATTCTTGGTCATTTCTTGTAAGATAATCCAAAATCCGGTTCATATCATCGTTAACAACACTCATCTTGATTTGCAATGTTCCAAATTAGGGTCAACATTATAAGTCACTTTAAAAACAAATTCACAAGATTTTCGTTTATTAATTAGTCACGATAGGTTAGAAACACTTGTGTACAACTTGAGTAAAATAATATTATGATTTTTCCTACTTCACAAATAGTTTTATGAACATGACATTTCTTTAGAACTTCCAACGTGGAAATAATGACGTCATGAAAGTAGGACACTCCGAGCTACGCGATTGGTGTTTACAAAGTACAGAAAAATTCATGACTGCATGCAAGCACCATCTATTGGTAACTCATAACACTATTAACTATTCTGAGACTGACAGACCAGTGACATTGCTTATGACGTTCCGTTATACGCGTAGTTTGCTTCAATTTATTTTTGGTCAGGGTCGGAAATAAATGGGTACTTCACTATAGGGCTTTTAAATTTTTAACATTGATATATATACATCTCATTAGTTAAAGAGATACCAAGTACTTTATATATGGTATTTTTTAATAAGAGAATAATTAAGTGTACTTATAATTTACAATGTTACATTGAACAGACAGTTTCATTGTGACAATATGTAGGTTTCATATTTCATACGCTTCCGTCGATGAATATAGCGCTAACCTATTTTGCGATTTATTCTTATATATTTACCTATAACATTTTGGCTATGCATAGTTAGAATTTCTGGCAAAGAACGGCACATAGTATTTTTATTATTATTATATTATTTATTTACCTACTTCAATAACGATTACAAGACTTAAATTTAAATTTATAAATAAATAAATAAGGGATAAAATTGTCAGTCATAATATCCTGAATTTTATAATATGACCCTTACTCTCCGGTAATGGACATTTTTGTACAGTTCTTCTATTACATTCTTATTTTATAACAAACATTATGAAAGCACATACGTACTTATGTATTCATCTATATTTTAACAAATATCCCGTAATCGCGGGGAGACAAGACTGTGCCGAGAAGAAAATCCTTGTACTCGGGAAAACGAGGAAGTTGTTCAAAATTTTTCCTCGGAGACTTGTACTTTGGGTTGGGGATGTTTTGAACGGGTTTTGTATCTTCTATTAGAATTGAAGAAACCGAGGGATTGTGAAAACAATATGCGATTTCGTTTTGTAACATACGGTATCAAGTAAAGAACCCTAAAGAATGGTACTACAGTTTCCCACGCAGTATTAAACTTAATATCATCTTTTATGTACACTATTATACATTGCATTTGCTATAATTACCTGTTACTGAACAATTTTCATTAGAAGATGAAAATGTATGGCGACATAATTAAATAAAAAAAATAAATTCGTTAATGAAACTAGCAACAAAAATTAGAAATAAAGAAATTATTCTTTACAAATATATTTTCAAAACTTGGGTTCATATGTAGTCAACAGACAATCTTGAATGCAATTAGACAATGTCGGAATACAGACTTTCAATGATACCTTATTGGTTTAGAACCATCAATATGAAACGAACATATAAGAAATGTAAGTTATCATTTCCTTCAAGCCCACTCGGTTTTTCCGCCACAAGTTACACCCACCTTGAAATCGTAAGAACATTTCGTTCTGCAGATGATTCAATTGTCGTCAACGGTGCGTGAAATATCACAGCAAAACCTTATCAGCTCTAAGAGTATGAATATAGATTTTAAATTCCTAAACTTCTATATACTAGAAAACTTGACGGCATCAGTTGATGATAGCGTTGGTGTTTTTATGATGGGTTTTTGTGAGCATTTTCAAGGAAATGAGATTTCGAAGGTTATTACCCTCATGGCAAGGAGAGGTAATAATCGACTGTTTAGTATTCGGTGATTCTCTAGTATTAAGTAGGCATACACATGCTGCCCAAAATTATAGAGCAAATATATAAAAACTTATTTTGGTACCGATTAATTTAAAAAGAATAATTAAACTCAACTTGTAAATAATAAAGACAATCAAATTATACTTACAAATAGATATAATGAGTTATAATTTGTTTTTTAAGTCTGGTCAAAAGTAGGTATTCTGTTACAAGTAGTTGCTAAGGCAATTTGACGGCCTCAGTGATCTAGCGGTTAAGCATACTGCTTTATTTCCGATGGTCGCGGGTTCGATTCCTTGAACGGTGCTTATATCGGTTGTCTAATAATCATAACACAAGCTCTGCTTACAGTGGGATTAGATAGCTTTGTGTTAGTTGTCCATTAAAAAAAATCCTATAGTTAAATAATAGATATGTAATTTAATACAGATTATTTTGTGGATAATTATTATAGTTAAATAATAGAATAACTAGTACAAATGGACAGTGAATTAGAGAGAAACTATTTTCGTTGTTACAGCTGAAACCTCAAACTTATTGAACCGCAAAAGGAACCCACACGTGTTGTCCATTTAATATATCCAGTCCTTTTTTTAGAGGAACATACCGTAGATATAAAAGGTCGTAAAGTGTATTCCAAGCCGAAACTTTCGAGACAGTAGGCATTCATGAACTTAACAACTTATTTCGATGGATTAAAAAAGGGCAACATGTTAAGAGAACTTTGGAAACTTTCATGCCAATGTTTTTGTTGCAAACAAGCTGACGGCTCTCCTAATGGGGAGTTTACATGAACCTCAACACGAGCAGGTACCAGAGGTATATCATGATGACGTTTTTTATAGATACTATGTGGTGGCAGACAAGCCATCTGATGGTAAAAGGTTATCGCAGTCTATGAACTCCTGAAACTCCAGAGGTGTAAACGTGACGGGGGTATAACGTGGATCATACGACGTGATACCCCTCATGCTTTTCAATCCCGAATCCCGTCTATATCCCGTAGTTACACTGCAAAATCACATCCTTCGACCGAAACTGTTCCTCAAATAACTATCTTAGTCTTGTGAAATGGTGGTATCATATAATTTGTAATCACACAAAATATTAAACATAATTAATATTTTTACTGACTAGTGTTTTTTTAAAAAAGCAACTGTCAAGAATGTATCCATTGTGGTCCGTTTTCAATATATTTAATTTGAATAATGTATATTTAGATTTCATGCTTAAAGCAAATTGTATGCTTCAATATAGTAAACCTATAGGTATAATATTGATACAATACGTAATATACTAAAATAATAGCGAAAGATTTATTATTTTGCATTTTATCTTGATGCAAAAATCAGTAATGTATAATATTATCACACGTATTACCCACTGATTGCTACTTGGTATTATAATTATTGATGTGAGATTACATGTTACTGAATCTACCAAATAGTAATAATTAATCATGCAAACATCTATGTAATTTCTCAGAAATAATTTTGACACCAAGTAACAATCTGTAATAGCTGTGAAAATATGACTGAAAAAATTTTCATAGTAATTATTTGGAGAAGATGATACAAATTTGGGCAGAAATGTTGCGCGGTCATGTCAAGTCCGGTCACGGATTGCTTGTCGGGACTAAATCTGCCCTTCGAACACGAAAACGTCATTAGTGACAGGACAGTCTACCCACTCCTTCGTTATCGCACCGATTTAGAACTGACAAACCTCAGTCTGCTTCAGAATGAATGCATAATATATTATGTTCAATAAAATAATCACGACCTGAACGGATTTGCGACAATCACAAAACAATATTTTTTACTGAACTATACGTTGTCAAGACTTCGCTCGTGCGGAATTTATTGTTTTCAATACAGGATATTTACACTTACTGTATTTATAATGCTATTGTTGAAATTTTAGATTCCTAAACAATACTGTTTATTTTAAAAAGGATGATAAGACATGGTGCACCCGCTTGCGTAGTTGGTATAAGCTAGTGGAGCGCCAGTATAATCCTACAGCGCTGGGACGAGGGCGGAGTCGAGGCGTGCAAAGTGGAGTGGAGGCAAATTCTTAAGGAATTAACGATGATGGTTTTCTTGGGATACTGTCTGGACGTAGACCTGACCTGTAGTACGTTGCTAGCAATTGGGCCACTCACTTTTACTCGAAATCACTTCTTTAAATTCACTGATTCCAGAATGTAGAGCGCGTTCAATTATTTCTTTGAAACCATATTGTTAAAGCAGAACACTTACAATATAATAATAATAATATTAATTCAAATATCTACTAGCCTATTTAGTATAAATAGTACCTATTGTATGTTTGTTTTCTGTGATTCACCGCAAAGAAATTCGGCTGTTGCTCTTTTGATTTTGTTTTCGTCATGTTTTCATGACTCGAAAGTGTACATAACTCTAACAGTATGTCTTTTAATCGTCATATACACATAACATTCTATGTTATGAATGATATAGAACTAACAGGATATTTAGAAACCTGATATTTTCCACGTTAATAATTTATAACGCGTAGGTGTAACGATACTGTAATAATATTATGTTACTTATATTAATTGTGGAATAGGCAATTAAAAAAGGATTTCTCTTCAATGAAGGCGAATATTATAATCCTTCTTTCCTCTCATCATTGATTATCCTGGTGTGTATTATTCTGTCTTAATAAGGATCCACTAAATAAGCGGATCTACTTATTAAAAATGTTATCATCTTATGTGAGGGTAAATAGAACCACACTTCCACTTACACGTTTAGTACCTGTTTTTAATACCTCGAAGTAGTCTGCACGGTTTGTTATGATTTCAATTCTTTTATCATCATTCCCAAACCATTTGAAACATAAATTTAATGTAGGTATCTCCGAGACCATCATGACTATAATATTCATTCCTTAAAAAATAAATATCTTGTTTACCATATGACATCATTTATATATACATACACATTATTATATGCATATTCTTATACAAGATTACATTGATCCTATAAAACTACTACTACCTATCTCTTAAAATTTAACTTGTATTCAACTATTAAATAGCATAAAAATATAGTTAATATTATTTTATTATAACCTGTAGAGTGTAGGTATACAAACCTCCGTCCAAGATTATTTATTTCCATTATAATATACATAAGTACATATTTATAATGAACAATATTCAATACCATTTTAAGTATTCACTCACCTAATAAAACTAAAGGAAATTAACAATTTTGGTAGGTATATTAATTACGAAGTTTAAGACAAGGTTCTTGTAACATATTATCGTTGTAATTCCAATTTATATTGTTCTATTTAAACCGATAGTTCTGTCTACCCTTTAAAAGATTTGGACTGCAGATAGTTAAATAGACAAGTTGTTTGCCGTGACGTTGCCAGCACTTGTTGTTAAGTTCCCGTTCTAATCAGAATTTTTGGGAAATCTATTTTTAGAACTAAGCCTGGGGAATAAAAGGAGTGGAGTTTATTATTTTTATTCTGTTATCATGACACTTAGTTCATGTTATTATTGACATTGAGCAATTATTCTAGTGTTGAATAATAAAAACTCCATGGAATTACAGAAGTTTCGAACATGGACTATGTTCAAAACTTCTGTAATTCTAACTTCACAAGATACTACAAAGGAATTTTGTAATATATTCATATTATAACCTAGGACTCTTTTTAAGTAAAAAAAATTATGAGAAAATTGTAAATGGCCTAACTTTTATTAATGAGAGGCTTCATGTATACCTTACCTAAGTGGCATTGTATAGAATTAATAAATCCTAGAAAAAAAATGTATAAATATGAGTGTTATGGAGTAAACATGAGTATTTATAAAATATCGCAATCTTGTAATAAATTAATTCTAGGTATAAGTACATATACACATATATAATTTGTTTAAATAATTTGTAAGTTTTCGAAAATTGAAACAGACTAATCCAAACTACTCTTGAAAACTGAGTTTGATAGTTCTATTTGCAGTTATCATTCAACATTAAATTCATTTTCAATTAATTTCATTTTATTTTCGAGTCAAATAAATATATTCTTCAATGTACATAATATTCTTAAGATATGACCTGAAATGAAAACTCATCTCTCATTTTTTTCATATTAAATAATAGCGATTTCTTCCCGGCGAACTTAGGATGTCGAGGAGTTATTAACTTTAGCATTTGGTCGTGATATAATAATAATTACAATTTAGTATGTATGTAGGCAGTACAATAATGACAAAGTAATGTATACTTTATATCTAATAATTAAAAATAATAATAATAAATAGCAAAATTACTATTGTTAAATACAAAATTTAAAAATACAACACAGCTTTATTAGTCTTTGAGAATAAAAAAAAAATTCTTTCACTGAATTTTCACGCACTTTCCATTTTCTCCAATTTACAGTACATATTCGAAGGCTGGCAATACTGGTATCCTCTCAGGCTCCAATCGCAGCGTGCGACTGGGAGCAGACTGGCAAACGAACCAGTCAGCATCACGTGCGCGAACGTGACGGGTGTGTGTCGCGTTGTTCTGTTGTATTATTCACGCGTCACTTGACAGTTGTACCGTACTGAATAATGATTATAGACCGACACTGTGTAACGTAGTGATTGTTGCTGTATACTTGTACGTGAGGAATTTATACATAAATCTATTTAAAATACTGAAAATGATAACAGTGAGGCGGGATGCGAGAGGTGAATGCTCGTCACAGCGGCGCCGACTCTCACCGTCCACTATTGTCTAAGTGCCACGGAATCTTGGTTCTTCCTATCGGATTCCATCGATGAAACATCCGTTCCTTGACGTGGATCGCACGCGAAACACTAGCGTTTGATTACCAATGATGTTTACATTATCAGCTATATAAACAGATAAGACAAAACTTTATATACCTATTTACATTCATACATGTTATTTTTTATTGTTAATAACTAAACAGTCGATAGTCATAACAGTAATACATTTTAAATAAACTTTAGAAAGGAGATTAGATTGAATAAATTTTGATATATTTTTTTGCAAAATTATCGTTTACTTTCATGTTGATCAAATATTTTTTATACGTTTATTTTTGTATAATATTAAATCTGAGAATATGTTAAGTGTAAATAAATTGTATTAGTCACTACTTACCTACTTTTAACAAACTTTACTTATCATATTATTATGTCTACGTCTATATGTTTGTCCCACTTGTTCAGACATTTCTTTCTTCTTGCAAAAAAACATCAAACAAATGGCAAAGCATACTAAAGTAGAGTAATTATGTGAACTTTCTCTAGTACAGGGACCTACCTACCTACATATTTATAAAGGTATTTATCTATATGAATTTTATTATAATATAACATACTAGGTCCGGCGTTAATTAACAAAACAAAGGTATAAACATTTGAAAACTGATGTGACCTACCTACTATTAGTATAATATAAATACATATTAGTTAGTGTGCTATTAATATAAATAGTGACATGTGTACCATTTACCTATACAGTTTAATAATATAACTAGTGATAGCCCAGTGGTCAAAATTCGACCACAATTAATTTAACATTCATTAAGACTATAGACAAATAATATTAAAGATAAACAATATTAATCTATTCTCAATTTGACCACAGACTTTAACAATAAACAAAAGAGTATTTATTTATGTGTGTGCAAAAATGGGTACTAATTTTTGCTTCACATACTAATATATAGATTATTCGGTCTAAAATGGTATAATACTAGTAGAAGTCGTAGGTTTGATTCCTTGGTCGGGCAGATTATAGGATCATCCAATTTTTAAACCACTAAAACATTGGATAGAAAGTGGCGAGTATATCGCGTATCATAAAGATACCGAATAAAATGGTATCATCCTCCATTTTAAAATTCGGTTAAAAGATGCTAAAATTTGTAATATAAATATATATTTATATATAATATACATATAATATCAATATTCTCGTAAATATCCTTCAGGAGGTGTATCAGAAATTTATGCAAATACCATTAAAATTATTAAATTACGAGAATTACTAGTACTACCATATGTGTATAGATAGATAGAGATTATTTGGTTAAAAGAACACGCCTAGAGGGTGCAGTTAAATAAATAAAAAAAGTTACAAAATAAATTAACAATCAAATTGAAAAATGAATACATACACAAAATAATAATAATAATTTACGGTATAAACAGAATTGATTTAGGTTTAAACAACCCAATTCAATTACGAAATTATTGTTAAATCAGGTTAATGTTTTAATGAGCGCGCTGTGCAGAAAAACTAATTGGCATCCGTACAAAACGCAGGGAAATTTAAATCGAGATATTTAGAATTTATATGGCGCGATGTCGCCTTAAATATTTTCCATCGGAAAAACCAATGAGGCAACACGTGCGAAAATCAGTAACCAAATCAATCTTCTACCTATTTAAATATTATTGGTTTTAAGGTAAATACTGTGAATACCATTAATACCTATAAATGTACATTAATACAATATATTTTTAATTATCTTAAGATTGTCACAATGTAGGTGCTATTGTTGTTGATAATGAATATATAAATATGTTTTATTTATTTAATTTGCCACTTGTATAAATGAGGAGATTGGTTTGGTTAACTATTAATGGAATCGATCGGTTGTCCCTTGACAGATCAAAGGAATTAATGGTATCTAATACATATATGATATACCTGACTTCATGCTTTAGAATTATAACATAGGTAGATCTTACATCTAATGTAATATTATGAACAGGAAAGAATTTATCAATAGTGTTACTAGAGTACCGTGTAATATACATCCAAAAAATACAATCAAAGACAGCATTTTCTTTTTGAAATTGGTTAAAAAGATCTTATGACTTCCAAAGGAATAATTCTTGGCGCACTGTTTGTTGTTAAAATAGTAGACTTATTTCCGTATTGTATAAACGTAAACACAAATTTGTACCGATCTCTGGCGAATTTAATGAGGAATAAAAGTCACTCGTCCAGACGAGTGACATAATAATTCTTGTGGATAAATCGCAAATGAATATAAAAATGATTGTCAACGGTTTATAAACATTTTAACAAAATCAACTGCTAAATCAAGACTCTTAAATAGTCCTCTATTTTACAAATTTTAATTACTATTTCTGCAGTCAATAATTTTGAAGAAATAAATCTACTTATTACTTAGGTATTTGATTGATGACGAGGATATCTTAAACAATACAAGTTTTTACTTTGTAAGTACCTAATAATTACACAATAAAAATACTACTTATCATACATATCAATATCAGAAAAGCAGGATCCAATTGCCTATATTTTATCAAGTAATGTATGATTTATTCATACAGAACAGGGTATCATTAAGAGAACTCGGAATAAGTTCCATAATTATCTTGTTTATCAAGAATAAGGTCAAACATCGGGTAACAGAAAGCGATACTTTTAGACGAGAGTATGCAGTGAGGAAGTATGTGGACGGAATAGCACTGTGATTAATAGCTATCTGGTGATATGCCAATATAGTTATACTATAACGGACTTCCCTCTGGCTCTATCGAACATTGCCCTTCGTTTGTATACTTGACCCAATTATGATGGAGTTGGCAACATTCTCACAGTCAAAGTTTTAATCTGTCGGAAAACAAAGCCGACGAGTGTATTACAAAGGCCTAACGACAAACAACCTCATTGGTGAAAACTTCATGATCAATTTTTATCGCTTGATAAAAGCGCTTAATGAGAATATCGAGTTCAGGCCACGATAAACTCGACTTCAATAGTTACCGATTTATCTATATAACAATTCGTAGACACAAACACATGCACAACTTAACAATATACCTGAAACATCAAATACCTGCCTACTATATTTAAGGATTACTTTCAATTACCCTGCTGGGTTTACATGATCAAATCCTGACTTAGTGACAATGGTACGACCACGGAAGCCTTGAGTATATCTTTCAAAACAAAACAAAATATTTTTCATGATAGGTATAGATGCATGCATAGATATCGAACATAGAACTTCTTTTGAAGTCACGTAAAAATAAAGATAAAGCTCGATAGACACATTTACTCATAAAAGCAACGTCACAGCAGATTGACATAAATGTGTTTACACAATGCGGTTAGTTTTAACGGATATATTGTTGTTTCATTAAACGCGAGCCATCCAACATGACAATAGTTACAAATTAATGTTGTCTTGTATAAATAATTTCAATAATATAGCTACCAACAGTTGAAAAAATAGTTTCAGTAAATAAGGTTGTAATAAAAAATATTAAGTAATAGTATATAATAAATATTATTAGTATATTACGATTTCATAAATTCTCTCTAGGGTAGGGTAAAGAGTATCTTGAAATTAAATTAAGGGTCCCTTAATTTGATCGAGAAAACTGAAAAATTAATAATTCAATAATATTCTGTGATATGGTTTAGTAGATTTTTCACGAAGAACAGATAAAAAGAGACAGTAGGGCTCTTTATAATGAACTTTTCTTTGTAATAGACAGTGCATTATAAAAAGCGATCTTGCGATGTCTAGCGATAAGATCGCTAATAAGGAAGTAAATCTTAAATTTGCAAACTATTGGAACTGATAACGAAAAGATTAATTTAGTACATAGAATGGTTTCGTTATATAAGTGATTTTGATAAGCAATTATCAATTAAAATCATATAACGAGCTACAAAAGTACTTTTTATATGTTAATACAGGCGACTGTATACGTAGCGTACCTCATATAGATGTAGCCAATTTCGAAACTAAGAATTTAATTACAAACTTTATAATATGCTGAGACTGACTTTGTATTTACGAATTTTATATGGAAATATAAGATTGATTTTTAATATTTCGACGGGATTTGACAGGTTTAAACCTCGCATTTTTAGCAGTCCTGACCGGATTGTTTCCCGGTTATACCATGCATATATTAGTTTCAGCAGGTAGGTACTGTAATATTAGGTACCGTTTTTTCTAATGCTTTTAAACCAAAATGTTCCAATCAAAATGGATTAATATTTTAGGTAAATACTTAGAAAATTTTATCAATTTGTGATAATTATGGGTTTATAGTTTTGGTTTTAGTGTACTGACCTTTAAAGCCTGAAACTTACTATGAGTCATCGAAGGATGACAACGAAATATCATAATCAATTAATAGCTTATGAATAGAAAAAAAGAAACTATAAAGATAATCATCTCATTTGTATAATATAATGACTAACTTGGTATTGCGGGTTTCAATCAGGTGACTATTTTTGCATTAGTGAACTGTACATCTAATTTCTTATTTGCATCTCTCAAATGGTTCATAGATGATCATAATTTCATCAATTGAGAATTATTATTAACAGAGTTGCTTAATGAAGCCACAGATCGCGGTAATATTTTGTCGTTGGGTGTGTCCATAATGTTTGTTTACAATTTGTATAAAAATCTCAATATTTCTTTTTATTTTACAAAGGTGTATACGCCGATATTGACTTATTTGATCGTAAAATAAAGTTAAAAATAAAAATGTCACGGTCTAAAGTGTTTAGGAAAAATATGTCATTTGAGAGTAGAGTCAATGAATGCGTTAAGATTGTTCTATAACCTTAGATAAAAATTATAACAAAAAGTGAAGGATTAAGATTTATGTGGCACTTTGTATAAAAAAATGAAATTTGAAACTTAAGAAATTTTAACTAATATAGGTATTATTTATGGTGATTATAATACATTTTTGTATTTACAGTTATTTAAATAGATTTAGTTATAATATAAATAGAGCAATGAACACTATTGTATGACGAAAAGCTTCAAAGAAATTATTATAGAATTTAATTTCTAAACTTTAGTTGTGTGAAATGCTGACAAGTACTAGCCCTTGAGTGTGTGTGTGTGTGTGTGTGTGCGATGGCGCGAGGTGCTGTGGTGTCTTCGGCCATACTCTTGTTGGTAGTGGAGACTGCGTATGCACATTACACGCCGACATGGGCTGTCCACGTGCCAGCGGGAAAGCAGGCGGCAGATGCTGTAGCCAGCGATCATGGTTTTATCAATCTTGGCGAGGTGAGTCCTTATTGAGTCCTTTTTTAATGTCACATTTGGAAGATAGACCAACAAGAAAATATACACGAAACACTACTTGTAACTTAAAATATTAATTGTAAATCCATATTCAAGTAACTGAACATTTCATTCTTAAAACAGTTTAAAAACTATAAAGACTTGCGTGTATCAGATTTATGTAATGTAGTAAAAAATATATTATTTTTATTATATTACACACTTTTCATATTATTTTTAACTGTTGGGAAATTGTTTTCGATAAGATTAATTTAATAATGGTTTTTCTTATTTTTTAATTACAACTAGACGTCAATAGCCAAACAATGATTTCATCATTCTTGGCGAGATGAGTACCCAGTATCGTTTCCCATTGTAACATTCAGGCAATATTGAGACAGACCAACAAAAAATTATAGACGGAACACTACGTACAATAAAAACTACAAACACATGCTCAAAGTAAATAAGCTTAAACATTTCTGTCGTTCTCACACGCGGTGCGCCTAAACTACCAACACATATTACCTACCTAATATATAATTTTGTTAATATCTAATATTTTTTAGATAAATATATAGATATTATTTAATGTGTATTATATATTTGTAACATACATTAAAGAAAAAACATAAACAATATATTAAAGAAAACATATAATACGGTTATATTATTATTGTTTTTGATAATCCTTATTATGAAAAGATTAAATGATCGCTAATTACTAAGTAATACAAAATATAGTTTTTTATTCAGTATGATAACTGAACTCAGTATGATAACTGAATAAAAAACTATATTTTGTATAACTTATTAAATCAAGACGTCACACTAGTACTCTTTTATTTCATCGTCTAATAACTTCATTAGTTACTCTTCTACCTTGATAAATAATTACTAGTAAGAATTATGTTTGTTTACCTCTTAACCAAAGCGTATATAAATTAATATAAAAAAGTCAATACACTTAATTCACATACTTGTTTTTGTTGGATGTGTAGGTAGGTAGTAGTATTCCATCTTCTATTTTAATTTCATAATGACTAGTATATAGTAGGTATATATATATTTACACATATCGCACACCTAGTGTAGACTCAAGAATTACAAACTTTCTAAAATCTACTCTAACATTTTTAACACTTTAAAATATAAGGTAATAAAGACAATTATTTCATGTACATAAATACCATGATATGAATAACACGGAATTTTTTTGAGTATGTCGTCCGTTTTCCTGTAATAAAATCATGACTATTAATACCGTTTACCAACATAATTCTATAATATGAGCTTGATTACTGTGAGTTTGTTACTATATATTATAATATGTAATCAGGTACTAATTATATCGTTACGTACTGAAGTTCCCTATTAACTCTTGGACTAATCATTGAAGGATAACTAATCAATTCTATTCAAGTGTAATAATTGACTAAACGTTACATTGACCGCTTTAGAATTTCCTTTAACGGAAGCAATTTACTTGAAACGATGCTACAACTATGTACCATTACTATTGTTTTCTAATAGTTTTACCTTCATATTGCCATGGTTACAAGTAGGTTATAAATTAAATGGGAATTAGAATTAGATGTTGATTGTAAGAGAGCGAAATTTAGGTTGCCAACACCATTAGGGACTATTGTTTACTTTCAGTAAAACTCATTCTAGATTGGCTACTATTTTTTGTGTATGTAGTTCCAAACCAACTTGTTCGCAGATCTGATAAGTATGTGAGCTTTTTAGTTCGTATGATACAATACTAAGTATAATATATTATATACAATAATAATATATAACTGACGATAAATTTGACTGATCAATTAGGTGTCTGTAATAGACCTACATAAATATTTTGATTATTTTAAATTAAATAATAATTTGAGAACAATGAGTGTATAGGTGTTGTAAAACAAATAAACTGTATCTACCGAGTGATTGTAATTAATGCTTCAGCTACTAAAATTAATAAGAATACAATATTTTGTGACATGATTAATAGTACGAGAGATTGGTCAAACTTCTTATTGCCTTCCTTTAACTCAAGTCGGGAGTGAAAGAACTAAAAGAACGAAATATATGTAATCTACAATAGTGTAAGAGCAGCGAACTGAATTGAGGGCTCCGACTTGCGAAATATTAATCACTAGACTATTGGCTTTGGATTCATACCAAGTCACTTTGTTTACTTATTATCGTTATAATGGGTTTATGTTAGATCTAGGCAGTGAATAGCGTGTGGGAAATAGACAGGTTTCAAATGGAACTAAACCAATATTGTTAGTAATGTATTAATATTAATTTAACCTAGTGCAAGAGACATAGTAATATCAATTCAATAGTGAGTTTTATAATTTACGAACTGTAATTTATTGTGCTTTGTGTAATTTATATTTTGTAACAGGCATACTGTTAAAAATATATATATATTTTCTTCAGTAATCTGATACTGTTAGTTTCCGTGGACTCCGATCAATGATATCATCATCATCATCTGATATCATCCATAATATTATCCATACAATGATTATAAATTTGAAAATCTGCCTGTTTGTTACCTACGAGAATAGAGCTGAACGAATCTTAATCAAATTTGACCTATAATTATCTATTTTATCAGAAAAAAAAACAAACGACGTCGCGGTCTCGCGACCAAACGCTTATCAGGTAGCTTATTTGCCGTTTCCATTGCATAAAAAGTGCATAATCCCAACATTTATATTCAAAAGTTCAGCAGCTTTATCATTGCGTTTACTCAGACAACATTATACCCGGGTGCAGCAAAATACATGTTATAAAATTAGCGGGTTATTTCAAGTGAGATGCAAAATTGTGTGGCGTAATAACAGATTTGAGGAAATGTTCCATTTAGTGTACCCACTTATAGTTGTATTGCTTTCAACATCTTAATAAATCGCTTGGTTATTTGTTATTATTTGATTGGCTGAATAATGTTGGTCTATTCGTAAGTTGTTGTTACCTCTTTCTTTCACGACAGTTATCCTAGATGGTACAGTCTGAAGCATTGTTAAAGTTTGTTGTCGTGGCGAATGTGACATTAGACATGCTAACATTTCGCTGGGTTCATCCGAATCCAACGTGGTATCTAGCCGAGTGCCATCTACATCATCTTCATCTCATATTCGGATTATATTTATTGTTATAGGTGTATCAATCATCGGAGAGGCAGTATGATATATAAATTGACATTCGTTATTCGAACTCACGAACCTTGGTGTATTATAGCTACATAAATAATATACTTAGTTTATTAAAGAATAAAGTATCACAGCTATGATAGTTTAACTAGAGTTTTCACTGTGAAAATTATATTACGCCGCGGGTGTTTATTTATTGTTTTCACTGGATGACAGGCCGCGGTCCTGAAAACTGGAAATATTCCAAGCCTGAAAATTTTGACATTGCATTTTACCGCACTGTGTACGTATTTTTGCCGTATATTACAATTATTATATTATTGAAGAAAATGAAATATTTTATTAATGCACTCATAAAATATTTTCCATTGCATTTACATTAGTTTGTTAGACTGTAATCGATGTGATGAGAAGTAGTCACAAACAATATCGTGACGTATAATCTCATGCATGTTATATTTCGTAAATTCACTGACATGCAATGTTGGCTGCTGGCGGCAGAATTATTGGAGTAATGGGAACCCGGTGGACTTTGTATAGTATCTCCTACTTCCCTTTTATTATACCCATTCGCCTACATTTTCGACACAAATATTACAGTATTTTTACTGTGGTCACAAAGACCCAAATATTCGAATATCGAATTATAAATAAACGGAAACCAAACCGCCAATAATAATGAATTACAAAATTATGAGCAAGTTTCTTTGCTATCTGTGGGTTAAAATAAATAGCTTCTATTCCCTTAAATCTTCCTAAATAGTCCAACATTATAGAAAACTTCGTCCTGAGAAGGGAGACGAAAATAAGCGAGAAATTTAAGTGGGTTTTATTTAAAGTGGCAAGCATTTAATTTGCTTTGAGATTTCTATTTCTGGATCTGTCACCGACGCATTAGAGCAGCGGTTCCCTTGCATATTATAATATGATTTTACTTTTCAAAATACTAATGCATTAGTCATAGGTAAATAAGGTTTAAATAAATACATGATTAAATTATCATGATCTCAACTAAGTTGTAGCATGTATGCCTGCGTATAGGTGTGATTTAATGGTCTGAAAGAAAAATCTGTATCAAAGTTATATAAATCATATCGTATAAATAAGTTAATAATTACATTACTTTGTATAATTATGTTTCTTGGCCTATCTCCAGTTGGTTAAAACTCTTTACACGTTTGCATATCCAACTTTTTTCCCAATATTCTCATTTCAAAAGAACTTCGATCTTGATTTCTTAGTTAATTAAAACAGTAATAATATTAATTCTAACTGTAATTACTTGTATAGACCTATATAATGTACGACTATTATTTATTTGTACATTTAACGTAATGCCCAAGAGAGAAGATAGGATGCTTTGAAGCTTTAGTCTGATGAGCACAAAAGGTGTCTGTCACTCGACCCATTGGTTGCTATTCGATAACAAAATGTTTGTTTCGTTGTTCTCTGACTATCTACTGACGTCACGTGTACACGAGATAAATGTAGCTTAATAGTCTCACTAGTCATGCGAAACTGCATCTTATGGTGCAAAGATACAGCTGAAATTTGGGAATGTAAATATGTGTGATGGTGGTCCCATTCTCTGTGCTTGGGCGATCATGCGCGCTTCTTTATTGTTTAGTGTTGGAATTTTCTCTTTTTTTAGTGTAGCTCTAATTATACTATATTTAAGATACAACGTATCAGAATATACTTACACTTATACCGACTTTTGTTACGTGCTAGCATACTGCTAACGACATTTCAGGAGTTAACTAAAACGAAATTACATATTACGACAAAACATAATTAAATGCGATTATTACCTTTAATCGGACTGTAAACAAGTATATTTCA